CACAATAATATTGTTCTTATCGACTATTCATTAATTTGTGTTATAAAAATAAAAGACGAAAATGTGTGATAATAACAATACATTAGAATTTTATTAACCAAGATAATGAAATTTAATAGTACATCAAATTAAATTAACACATTTTGATACGGCAAACGGGGGGGAGGACGGTCGCCCCTACCATCCCCTCCTTTCATCCGCGCCTGAACGAAATAAATTATAATATTATATATTATCAGTGGCGAAACGTCATAGAAGACAATGACACGTCTACTCACTTTTAATATGGATAAATAATTTAGTTTTATTATATTTAATTAATAAAATGCATTATTATATTTTATTTTTATGTAACAGATACTTCAATATTTATCCTAATTTTATTTTTGTGCCATAACGTATTAGTATTCTTAAAATAGATTAGTTGCGGACCGTGCATGCGAACTTTCCTCCGTTGTGGCGTAGTGGATGATTCTATAAACATCTAAATACAGATTTAAAAATTAATATTAAGAGACGACACGTTGCGCGTCTAGTTTTTCAAGGTATGGTGTGCAGGGGGAATAAGTTATTGAATAGGAATTATCGTTACGTTATGAGACGTGTCTCGTTCGTTTATTGTTTCCTTTTAATATGTAATCGACATTGCTTGTTGTGTTGTTGAGTTATCGTTCGACGCAATTTTGTTATCGTAATTATTGATTGGTTTTTACAATTTATTTCTGGTGTGATACTCTTATCTAAATATTAAAATATTATACTATTGTCATTTACCACTATGCCTGACGATTTAATTAATGACATTTGGAATGATGGAATAGTAAACTCTCATACGAAAAATAATATGAAATAAAATCAAAAGACCGTTTATTATACATACATATATAGTTATAAATGGGGAGCGGACGGTAACTTATTTTTTTAACGTCTCCCAGACTTAAATACTCGTGCTTCGCCACTGTATATTATTATTTATATTACATGCAATAAATTATATTAAAAGCAAAATTACCTATCTGATAAATGGCGATAGCATATGCAATACTGTCCCGCATACACGAGTGACGATTATACGACCGCGCCGGTCTATTACGTTCTATCATGTTTCGTTATTGATATTTTCATAGATTAGATACATTAGTATTATTTACTAATATTGTTTAATCTATAATACTATCGTTAAGAAATATAAATAACTGTCACAGTACACCAGACTGAATGAATAAAGTATAGTTAATTTAAAGCGAATTTATAATTATTAGTTAGTTTATTTATATAGTCTGTGCTGTACGTCGTATCCGTAAACATTTTCCAACGTGTATACTGCATATATAATAAACACGGGTTAGCTATAGGGGGCATACACCGTTTGGGCGAATCGACCCAAAATATAGTCTGAGCGTTTGAGCAAGGGTTTATTCAACTATAACTACCTTTTGAGCGAATAAATATACACCGTTTGTGCGAGGATTATTTAACTAAAAATACCGTTTGGATGGTATAAAAATGCTTATAATATACACTCAACAGTTAATTGAACAAAATTATATAAAATATAAATAATTAACAATAAGTTATATTAAAAAAAAATTATTATTTATAAGTAGGAAATTATCTACAGTCAAAAAATAAAAATAATAAAATAAAACTACAGATAATATCATTATTAGTAGTTTTTAAAGTAATCTATGGCCTGATATTTTAAACCTAAACATTTTATGTATTTTAATTGGTTAATATCCCCTCTTTTATATTTATTCCATATTTCTTGTATAAGCTCTTTATTTTTTATTAGCAATAATATCATCCATATTTGTCATCAGGTTTTTACCTCGTACAGGTAAAAATAATTTCACTTGCCCAAACGGTACACATGATAGTCGTCCAAACGAACTATTATTTTTATGGTCAAAATTATTACCTTCATCCAACGACTATCGCCCGCTATAGCATACCTATATCCATAGCGGCCGTGGTGTTGCGGATAAAATCAATCCCAATGAGCTTTAAAGATAATCCATAAAATATAATATTATATTGTTAGTATAAAATACTTAACTACTACAACAATTGACAAAATTATAATTTAAATCAATATAATAAAATATTTTTCAATTTTTTATATGTATACTGTATAAATATAAATATGTACGCACATGCTACTATAGATTGATATAAGAATCACAGGTTATGAAATACAATTAAAACTATTTTATAAACAGTATGAATAAACTTCCGGTGAATTCTATTTCCGGGTAGGATGACCATCTAAAGAAGAGACCTCCACCTGGCCCATTTCATTTCACTTTTCAAGTACACCTAATATACAGTGCTCGAATTTGGGGGGGGACACGCCACGTTCATCCTAATTGATGTCCAAAATAATTTTTATGTGAATTTTACGATTTATGATATTATAACTATTTTTATAATTAAAAATTATATGGTAGTTATGATAAGGGACAACGTCGTAATTTCTGGAAAAATATAAATAGTAATGTCTCTAAATTTGGTGTATTATACTTTATACATTGTGAGATTTGCTATAAATATTGGCAATCGACGATATCGTCATTTTGGAAAAAAATAAATGCCCTCACCACGACATTAGACTAATCTTCTAATGCCGTGGCCCGTACTAAAGAATAAAAATAGATAAAAACAAAAACCAAATATATGATTATATCATTCGATTCATGAGACTGCCTGATCGCCAACAATTACCTATGTTAATTATTATTTTATTTTTATTTTCCATTGTAACATATAGGATGTTGGTATTGCTATCAAAATGTATTATATTTGGAATTTGTTTAGCTGAAAAGTGGTTTTCAAAATATATTTAAGATTGGTGGAGGGGGGAGGAAGAGGGACGAAGCTTCTCACGGGTCTGTGTCAGTTAACTGAGCACATGAAACGCAGTTTTCAAATCATTGGACTGAGCTCCTCTACTTAATTTTTCCCAATTCGAGCACTGATAATATACCTATTGCAAAACAAACATATATGAAGTGCCTTAATCATCAATGCCTTCCTATCAAAAAATTTATAAATTACAAAAAAATGTATATATAAGGATAATATATTATATCACCTTTGTACTATGAATACATTAAATTATTTAATAATTTACTTACTCGCATTAGATTACATTTTATGGTTGAAATGTATTTTTATTTGAAAAACATTTTAAAAATTGAAGGAAAGTAATTGCATGTGTTTGTATATAAAATAGACACTTTTTCAAGATACAAATTTAAATTATATTTATAAAAATAATAATATGAATACAAGTACACGACATGAACATCTTTTTTTTGAAACTAATTTAAAAAGTAAATATCCATTTAGCTCCATCTCCACAATGATAAACATACAAATGTGAACAATAATATGTTTTATTAGTTTGTAAATTCCTAAAAACTAAAATAATACTTTTATTAATATTTGTAGTAATCCTAACAAGTAAAAATTAATAATTACTAGTTATACTAATGATTTAAATTATATATATTATTTATCCAGGGCCTGCTCAAACAAAAATAGTGCACTAGGCAAAATCAAATTTTGCCGCCTATAAAGAAAAAATTGAGCTCTTATTTTAATTTATGGTAGTCCCTCCCCTATTTTTTATGTGATATATGTACATAAAAAAATTACATATTTTATGTAAAAAAAACTTAAAAATGATTTCTATAATTATTACTCAAAATCAATCACTATCGTGACTAACGGAAATCTCGGAAGTGATTGTGTGGTTATTTATATTTTTTGAATAATTGAAAACGACAAGTATCGGCTGTAATATAAAGTAATATATTAACTTTAGATAATATTATTTTATTATACAAGTAATCATGAATTAATTAATTTAAATATTTTTCTTATAAAACACCAATAGATCTAAAAAAAATGTATGAGCCAATTTTAAAAATGCCGCCCCTATTAAAGTGCCGCTCTATTTTTAAAAAAAAAAATAATATTATCAGGATATAATTTGGGCTATAGCTCATACGCGCAAAATAAGACCAAAATGTAATTCAAAAGCGTAAAAATAAATATCCCATGAGCACAAAAAAATTTTTTTTAACAATCCATAAGCGCAAATACGTTTCATAAAAATTATGTGTACTTCATTAAAACGATTTTTAATTTAGAATTATAATGAGTATAATAATTATAATGAGTACCTACTTTAAAATTTAAATTTACATTTGAAGTCCACAATTTTTAAATAGTTCAATCTGGTCATTTTTTTTTCTATGTACAATTTCAATGTTTTTATAATAATTGTAATTTTTACAATAAAATTCAATACAATAATACTCAACTTCAACTAAACTCGATAAAACTTTAATAATAAAAATAATAATAAAAAGTGTAATGAGTACAATATTATGTTAGATAATACAGTTTATTTTTGCCCTTTTATCTCATTACTAAGGTACAAAAGCGCAAATTTGCTATGCGTTTTTGGGTTATCAAAAAAAAGGTCGATTTATACTTGTGAGTTTCATTGTATCATTTTTACTACCATAAATGAGCTACGTTAACAAATAAGTAATTTTATACTTATAATTATGTAATTTAACAAACGTATTAATTAAAAAACAACTATTTATTCTTCTATAATAAATATCAACGTATATTATTTTAATTTAATGTATTTAATACATGTGTTCTCAAGTGACGTATCTCTAGCCAATAATTTTAGAAAGGGGAGGAGGACTTTAGCTTCTATTTTAATGTGCCTAGATTATTTATATCCTTCAAAAAAAAATAAAAAATAATGATTGTATTACATACTATATTGTACATGGTAAAATATAATAAGAACAATTTTCCAATCCCCTCCCCCTAAACTTATTTATAATATATATATATATATACTATTTGCGCCTCTAAAGGTACTAAGATTTATTGTATATTATTATAGAAAAACAAACAATTTATGTTATGTGCATATTATGGTAATAATCTAATATCACGAGTAATCTTACCTAATGGTACGTCACAAATAAGACAGCATGCAGCAATAGCACCAGCAGACGAGCCACAGAGTTTGTTTTCTAAGAGATATGGCGCATACGTTTTTAAACACGATGCTACTCCTGTATGATATATACCTAAAAATCCACATCCAGAGAAAGACACATTCATGTTTGGCGTGATATCGAGAAACCTTAGTTCCCACAGTGTCAAAAATGAGAGAAAACACTAGTTATAAAATAATATTTAAACTCTTAATTAACTAGTTAACGAAAGAAATACGAAAATTTCATAGTTTATATTTAATAAAAAGACGAAAAAAAATCAAATAATGATGGCAAAATGTAACGACAGAGTTTATTGTCCGGAGATCAACCTCCAATGACATTCAAGCGGTAACTGATAACCAAAAAAAAAAAAATGTACAGTTCCTAATGAAGAATTGATGAATTATATCAACAATAACAATAATAACGAAAATAATTACGTTTAACTGCCCTTCCACGGCACAGACGTTCCTGTAGTGTTATTTTCCGTTTACTGCTGACATATTTACAGGGCGCAGTAACGTATCAATGATCAAACATAACAAAAAAACGTATATAGTTTTGTTAAATTATTTATTATTGTTTTAATTTACGCGCATCTAGGTGATTTCTTTTAAAAAAAACAATATATTCCTTAAAACTTAATTTAGTGGATAAAACTTAAATTTTAACCTTTACAATTCAGTATTCAAATCAAAGTAAATTATATTTTTCCAGTTTAACGTGGTTTTAAATAAACTAATTATAGGTACACACAAGTAAGGGACTATAATAGTTGTGTATCCACAACTTACAACTAAACTAAATTATTTTAAATTTTATCATGAATTGAAGTATTTTTTCGCTATACGGTAACTCAGATTTAAAAGAATTCTTTTTTTTGTTAAATACGACTGAATGCCATGAACTATATTGATGCAACGCCACAGTTAAGATTCGTTGGGAGGATATCATTAACCTTCTATTATGTTTTAAAACGATGAAATGTGTTATTAATAAGATAATTATACTTACCTATTTTAAATTTAAAAGATATTTTATGGCAGTTATTAGATATTTTTACCACCCTCCCTCCGTCATAATAAGTATCAAGATTCGCGCTTTGTTATTACTACTTCCTACAGAATTTAAAATTTTCATATTGAAAATGAATATCAAACATACTTCTACTTAATTATAATCCTTACAACATTTTATAAAATTCTTGAAAGATAAGTTTTTGCCAATAACATATCGTTAAACAACAACGGTAACATAATAACCAAAGATGAAGTACGATGAGTCATCGTAGGTATGTTATTATATTCATAAATAATACTTTATCTAAAAATATTAAATACAACCACATATCCATTATTCAGGTATTTATTATTATGTTATGTAAATGTGTATTTATTATAATGTCTATTATCTGTAATAATAATTTTATAGATTTATAATCTGACTATTATTATGTTTTACTATCGTCATTTGTCCTTGAGGTACACGTATATAATATCAATTATCATAGTTTATTATTTGTTTATTACAAAAAATATGTCAAACAAAAACAACCTAATCAACGGAATTTATATTTATACGTGGCGTAATTGTATATTTCGCCGAAATACACTGTAATAATTAATGGTTTATTTCAAAAATATCATAATTTTACTTAATAATATTGATTTCTTAACATCAGAAATCGAAGATAAAATAAAATAATTATAAATTTCTTCACATATTCACTAGAAAACTACAATATTTTCTAATATTCCACATATAAGGTATAAATATATACAACGATAAATAATTATTAATTATACATAACTAAAATCTGGCAGGCAATCGAGAATTTTACAAGCCACATCAGAGTACGAAGCAGGGAAATAATTGTATAAAATATTATTAATATTTTATTAAATTTATTAATAATAATTTTATCTTATTATAATAATACTTTATTATGTATTTATTATTTTAATTATATTATATATTATGCTCAAAATTTATTGTGAAAAGAGAACACATGAGTTCAAGGCCGTAACTGGAAAAAAATTTCGGGGGGGTCTAACAATATTATTTAATACAATTTATTGTTAATAAACTATATTCACCGCTATAATGTTTCTACTTTTAAAAATTTCTGGGGGGGCGGACCCTTGGACCCCCCCCCAGTTACGGCCTTGCATGAGTTACAATAGTTTTAATATCAATATATAGTGGTGCGCACAGAATTTTTTGGAAGGGAGGTATTTAGGTATTAAATTAACCTGACCATTTTATACTCATAATTTATTTCATACCAATTTATTTTTTTTTATATATCCGATATCATATCCATGTATTTGGAATGATAAATAGTATACAATTAATATTTTCCCGATCAAATAATCGAAATTTTTGTCATCGATTATCGGGACGCAACTAGGTTATTAAAAATATTGTACTGGAAGGCAAGTAGATTATGGCCTGTTATCGATCTTTTTGGTTGGGATGCAACTTACCAATTAAATAAAATTTAGGATGCAAGTAGTGTGTATTGGTTAATCAGTACTTAGGTAATATTAGTCACAGAATCAACAATTTAATAAAAGCATGCCGACGTGTTATGACGGTCCTACTTTAGATAAAACTAAAATATTGCCACTATTCTGAATCCGACGATAAAAAGGATTCAGAATCTGCATTAAATATACTTACTTCTAATGTATTATAACTTATAATAAATCGCTTAAAATGTACTGCTTCACCACGTAACTTATTAAATTTAAATTATCGTATGATAATCAGCGGCGGATTGGCTAAAAATGTCGGTCCGGGAGATTACTGTATGACCGGCCCACCATCCAATAATAATTTTACATAAAAGTCTCCTTTATCCATGGGTTAAATGCTCGAAGAATTGTTTACATTACGTTTACACTAGGTTTATATCACAATTTTACAGTTAAATACAATATTCATGACGTATGTAATGCATCTAATATACAATATCACATTATTTTTATGAAATAATTTTTAATCCAAGTACATTGGTCGAGTGCTATAATACGACTACCGGCCCACCGGGAACTTTCCCGGTAACCTGATGAGCCAATCCGCCGCTGATGATAATATAATGTACTAGTTTATTACAACCCAATAATAATAGTAATTTTCAAAATCCAAGAAATACTATAATTTTAACAAATTAATTCATAAATGACAAGCTAATCCGGCTTTAATAAAATAAAATGATGTATTTTTTGTAGTTTTAGTTAAAATGTTTTTTATTCATTTAATAATCTATTCTCGAGGTGGATTTTTATAATTAATTCTATTGTTGAAAACCTATTTTTATCAGTACGAATGCAATTGAGCTCAGTGACATATGGTGCCTATGTCCAACTAGACACTACTAATTTTGACAATAGGGTAGTGTTTTGCATTGTTGCCTTTAATTGTACCTAAATACCAAATATACATTATAGTAAGAATGAGAGCACTAAAAAACTATTATCAAATTATTTTCTCAATAAATATCTAATAGGTTTTTAATTACCTCCAACAGTTTTAAATATAAAATATTAAATTATTAATTTATTATTAATTATATATTTTATATCAATATAGATTACAGACATATAGTTACAGTCAGTGGCGTATACAAGGGGGGTATTTGGTAGATATGACACCCCTCTTGAGTCGTATCATATATTACATCAGCGGTTACCAACCTTTTTAGTAGTGCGGAGCACCAATTTCGTAGAAAATGTTTGAGGCCCACCAATAGTTATATATGTATAATATGCACATACGTCAGTTATTACAATTTATTTATTAAAAAACAATTGTTTATCAAAAAATAGAACTTCATTGAAGTAGATTATTCAAGAGTTAAACAATTTAATGTAATTTTGGATTGTTCCCAATGAGAGAATCAATATTTGGATTAAAAATGAAAAGTTTTAGCCTTAAATCACTCAAAATTCAATTTCATTTATTCCTACATTTATTTTTTTAAAAGTAGAAAAAGCTCGTTCACAAAGACACACAGGTTGTCAAAATATAGCCCACCAAATTTCTAAGTAAAATTTTAGAAATTCCTGGAAAGTCTCGCCGAATATTTAAGTATAATGGTAATAATGGTGTAGTTTTAAAAAACGAGTTTAGAGTCTTATCACATTAGAGTTCAATCAACGAATCTTCTTCACTTGCTGATATTTAATATTTTAAAAATATATGTAAGTAATGTTAATAAAATATGGTTCACGGCCCAGTACCACTTGCTCGCGGCTCACTTGTGGGCCACGGCCCATGGGTTGGGAACCACTGTATTACATTATTATAGGAATATAGGTAAATCAATAATACAATATGAAATATAAAATAATGCACAATACTAATTACATATATACAGATTAACATTATCGCGATTGCGACAATATGTGACGAAAATTATTCGTTTACGTTTTTGTGCAACACAAAACGTTTAATAATAATAGGTATTGTAGCATATAATACTGATATTCGAATAGTCAAATATTCGAATAATTTATGGTAAATTTATCCGAATTCGAATATACATTACATCTTTATTACAGACATTATGTATACATATTAATTAATTAAAATAAAAGTTTTAGTTTGTACGTATTACATATAATATTTAATAATTACAATTAACACCCCCCTTCAGAAAATCCTAGCTATGCCACTGGTTACAGTACACTGTGTTGTTAAAAGTATTGATAAAATACAATTTATATAATAACTTTCATCAAGTCTTAACAGTTGCTTTTAAGTATTTATGTCTTCCTGTTACCCTAGTTGCCTGTGAACGATCTTTTTCTATTTTAATGTATATAATAAATAGGTTAAGAAGTAAACTTACTAATGAAAATACTGAAGTGTTTATGCTATTGTCAGTTGAAAAAAGAAATTTCAATAAATATTGATAATGATCAAATAATTAATTTATTATCACGAAAAAGTAAGCTTCTTTCAACATGTCTTTAAAATGTCTTAACTTATTATTTATATTTAAAATATAAAATTAATTATATAAGCTTAATTGATGTATGTATATTACTTTTAATTTGTTTATAAAATATAATTTATTATAAAAAATTCAATCATATAGTAGGTATTGCTTATTTATAAAAATCAATGACTAATTGAATTTTTTTTCAGTTGATTAAAGAGAATACATAGTTACAGAGATAGACGTAACTAGGCGTTCGAAATTGAATTGACATGAACAGACAATAGTCTCATAAATATACTCAAAAATATTGATACTTATTGAAGGTTTATTTTTTTTAATGTCCTCTTATATATAATAAAAACTAAAAGATTAGATAAATAAATAATTATTGAATAAATGTGTAGTGTTGTTGGGGGACGGTAGAACACAAGCTTAGCACTCTTCTACCTCCCTCCTCCATACTATAGTAACGGCCTATAAGCTGAACATTAATATGTGGCCTGGGTAATAAATTTTCCCGGCCTGAATTTTTCTCCCAGACCGTATCTGTATACAGGTGTCCCAGGTCCCAGTTGATTCCTAATTTTTTTTTCGTTGTATATAACAAATAGTAAGTAAAAAGTAGCTTGTTCAAGTATAAGGGATTAATTTTCGGCGAAATCTCGCGAATTTTATTGTAAGTCCTAATAGTTAAATTTAGTTTAAACTAGAAATAGATTGGAAAGCACACAGTTATTAACGATCTTCCCGTGACATCTTATCATGGTCATTAAAATTAAAATAATTTTGGCGTACTATAATATAATAATTAAAAACTTATCACAATGTGCATTATTGAATTAAATATGACCGATATTAAGAGGGAGTTATCAAACATTTTTAACATATTAGTTTAAAATTAAAACATACACTACCTATAACAAATTATAAAATACAACTAATTTGGTTAATTTATGTCGTTTATTAACAATATTTGAAGTTTTTGCTTTAGCAACATGATGTAATTGTATTTATAAATATTTTTACAGATTACTATTACCTATTACTAAACATAATCTAATATTTTGTAAAAAGAAATTATTGGAACACGTCATATTTTGTAGAATATTGAAATTATAACAATCATTCTTGACTGAGAATATTATTTTTACAGATAAACCAGATAGAAGTAAAATAGCAGGTTAGTTTGATTCAAATTCCCAATGTATTTATGTAATTTAAAAACACTATTAGAACTCTTTAATAATCCTCCTTTATTTTTTTTACATCAATTAATATGGAATAAAAATATTTATGACTATAGTTTAGTTCACTTTATGTAATAAAGAATATTATCTTTCAGTAGCGTAGCCAGGATTTTAAAATGGAGGGGGCCAAATCCAAAATACTAAAAAAAACATAATCAACAATTAACAATAAGTTTCGGTAATTAATATATTTTACTTCATTATAATTACATTTCAATTTATTAGTTTAATTATTTTGACTAATCTAACAATAAAAGACGTTGATGAGATTTAAAAAAAAAAATGTTTTTATTATTTATTTCTACCAAAAATCAAAACAAACAATGGGTTGTAGTTAACGCAAGCTTCTATTTTTATTCATATATATTTTTGTTTTCTTTTGAATTGAGGGCCCCAAATCACGAAGGCCACGGTGCGTCGCACCTATTGCATCACTACTACACCGCTGTGTAACACGATTATTGATTAATAATTTAACGATAAAACAATAAGTGTTAGTGTACAACTTACCAAGTCAATAATAATATTATCGATTTCATTTTTTGACTTTTTCAACATAATCCTTGTGGCCTTTAATCAAAACTTTATTAGAATTGGAATTAACTTGTGAAAATGTAACAGTACTTCATTATGTTTCCCACATATCTGGTTTATTACTTCAGCATGGTGGGCAACAAAATGATGATGATATTTTGGAGGAACGTTCATAGTGACTTCCATTATGTTTTCCTATAACATTTTAATGTATTACGAGATTACAATTATTATTATTATTGTATTATAATTCTCGTATATCTATTCTTTAAATAAATTAAAAGGTAATAAATGTTCAATTATTTTTTATGTAATAACTGTTAGTCATAGGTTTTTTTATGACTTTAATAATTCCAATAACTATAAATAAAAATCAAGTCTTTAACAATTTCTTCAATCTTACGTTTCGCCTCTTCAACATTTATTTTGTCACCTTTTATGATGGCAGCACTATTACTAGAAGCTATTTTCGGAAATGTTATAGATACTCCATTGCAATCATTAATAATTCGATTGATAATTTCACCACGTCTTGCAACAAAGTAATTATAATGCTTTGGATCAACATTTATTACAGCTCGAATAGTATATTCCTAAATGAAAATTGTTAATGATTATATGGTTGACTTATTTACTTGTATTTAGGTACATCAATGATTATTTTAATTGTTAATCTTAAGTTATTTCATATTATATGACTTATATATTAATAGTTAATTATTGTAAAGAAAACTATGAACAGTTATGTAAATATAACATCAATACAATTTCAATAAAAAATAGATAGGTTAGTTTAATACACGTGCATTTGTATTGAATTATACATACCAAAACTTTAGCATGGTCTAAAAGTTTTTGTTTAGAAAAAACAGCATCTGCTTTGCTATCACTGATCACAACTCTATCTCCAGCACCAATATTAGGAAATTCAATTTTAATATTGCCACATTCTTTTTCCAATTTGTGTAAACATTTTTTTTGATTTACCACTAAAGTGCCATGATATTTTTCATTGATTTCTATATGTTCTTCGATGAAATTACCAATATCGGTTATCATAAATTTAAATTTTGCTTTTGCTTTATTAAAATTCTCTTTTTTACCAACAATAGTTATATTTTCATTAGTGGAATCAGTTTCACGTGGAAAAATTATTCTTGTATTTGTTAAATATCTGATCTGGAATCCAAGTATAAAATCATAAATTAACACATTGTGCTAAAAACTAAACTATTTTAACAACATACATTTTTAACATTGACTCCATTTGTTCCAATTAAATATTTGTGAAACTTCGGATTTACTTATAAATCATACACATATTTATGAACATAATCAACCATTGTCTGAATTTGTGTAATAATATCTTTAACATCATCTTCAGGTCCTTTGATAACTATAGTCTATGAATTAAATTTTAGCTTTAAAATAACTGTTTACTATTTTTTTTATAGATTTTAGCATTTGGGAATTTTTTTTGAAAATTTACTTATTGTATTAGGAGAGAGGTAGCAGTTTCTTCTCTTGAGAAAATCGTCTCCTGCTCAAAGAGAGTAACTGCCATAGGCCAGGTTCGAATCGATGTCTGAGCGTATATCACGCATAATAACTTATACAATTGGTTAAATTGTCATTTTAATTTATAAGTTTAATAAATAAGTATATTCTTACATTATCTCCTTTAACAGTTGGTGAATTCAATGTCACATTACCACCACAATCTTCTTTGATAGATTGAATGAATTTATTCCCAAGATTTACAATAGCATCTCTAACTTTAACATTTTTCAACACCATTTTCTTTGTTATTATGTCTCCCTAAAAATACATAATATTAATAATAAAATTGAAAAATATTATAAATAATCTTTATAAAAAATTAACTAGGTATTTAATTTTGTATTTCTTTAATCATATCATAAGCGATTAAAACTTTTATTTCCCATGACTTTAATAACATCACTATTGTCTCCTTCACGTGGTAAAAAAATTCTCGTATCAGTCTTTTCTCTAATATAGAATATTAAATTATAAAAATAACAATATTTCTAAAGGTCGAATCACAAAAGTTAATAAATAATAATTACCTTTTTAATAAATACTGCTCTCTTTCCAGCACTAAGTTTGTGAAATTGTTTAAAAATAGGAATTTCCAACACATAGTTGATTTCATCTAATACTTCGGCCAATTCAGCTAATGATTTAAATGCTTTACTTACATCATCGTTCAAACCTCGTATTTTAACTAAATTATTTCTAGCCTCGACTAAAATATCAAACCAAATATTATTTATTAACGGTAAAAATACAAAAAAAACAAACATATTAATACTATTAATACTATAAATGACCTGGACTGGGGAGTATAATTTGAACATTAAATATTTTCTGAAGTTCTCGAACTTTTTCACCCTTAACTCCAATTATCGCTCCGTGGTGACGTTGATCAATTATTATTTCTTTTTCAGTTTTACTTTTCAACTTAAATATAATTTCCTCCAATTCCTAACAAAAATTTTAATTATTACAAAATTACGAAAAGAACTGTTTGATGGAAATTTGTTAAAATACTCGATTTTGTTAATACATAATACTTGTAAATTTTTTTTCTAAAAAAAAAAAAACATATCAAAAATTTTTTAAATACTTTTAAACCTATAATATTAAAATTAAAAGTTCATTGAATTTTTATAGAGTTATATCAATATTCAATATTAAAATCCTCATTATTTGTTTTTTACTATAAAAGTATAAGAAAAATAATCGACATTTTAATTTAGAAATCGTGAAATTTTCAAATATTTATTAAAAGATTTAATTTTAATTTAATTAATAAAATAAATAAACTAGTACGGTCATAATTAACCACTTTAAATATAGACATTATCTGTTTTGTCAATTTTTCTCCAACCTATTCATTCCAACCATTCTTTTCGAAAATTAATTTACTTAAATGTGTTAATCTTAAATTCCGATTCATTAAAACATATTTTTGATTCATACTTGAACTACTTTTTTCGTGGAATCCTTTGTTCCGGTTATATAAATTATGTCAGACGAATTTTTCATATACGGTATTTGAACACGTGTTCCTGTACGTTTTTCGATACTTTTAAGATTAAGTCCTTGTTTGCCCAATAACTTATTTTGATGTTCTTTTGGAAACTGTGTAGTTTTAATCTGAAATTTTAATGTTTTAGTTAAAATTGCTAAAAAAAAAAATATTTTTTTATTTATTTATCCGTAATTAGGTAATAGGATATTATTAGAACCAGTGATGGAGGCGCAAGAAGCTTTGGAAAGAAGTTTGATAAGAGGAGACGTGAGTACAATATTTTTGTTTTGATGATTACATGTGGGTTGTTTTGCGGCGTTTAAGAAGTAATTTATGTTAAACCTTTATAGTTGGAACAACAACCTTTATAGACAACATTTATAGTTGGAAGTATGATCACCCGCGCAAAAGCCGCACTTGGTTAAACTGCCTTTCTTTTTGATGTAACTGTTTCAGGAGTGATTTCCCCAGCGTTTAACACAGCGTGAAGGATGGAAGGTCACCATTATTTCCAGTATGGTGATGGTAATAGTGACCGTAGTTACCGTAGTAGGTATATATCATATATGAAACATAATATTTATATTAATATTTATTTTCATGAAACCTAATGTTTTATTATGTGTAATAATATTTTAGTATTAATTTAAAATAATTTGCACAAACATGCGACAAATAAATACTGACTAAGTGACAAACTGACAAAAATATAATAATTAATACAAACTATCTAAAACATCGTAGACAGATCGGTTAATATTGTGATAAATTTATAAACAGAACTTTTTGATTGTTGATCTATTTTTAACAATTATAATATCCGCTCGACAAGACAATATCGCACGCGTCCGCCGGTATTATTTAAATTCTGATGTTACAGTATGTAAACGCTCGGCAGTTTCAGACTGTTTTTACAAATACTCGAAGTCGGGGAAAATTTAATCGAAGTTTATGCGGGCACGAGGCTATTTTTGGAAAGTGGCCATAGTATATAATAATAATAATAAAGTCTATACTGTTATTGTTGTATAATGTATGCCTTATGGTGATGAAAAATTAGAAGCTTGCGTATACCCATTATGTACGAATGATTAGTTAACGTATACCCATGACAGACGAATTTTCTTAAAGATATACGCATAAATCCAAAAATAGGGATCCGGATATACGGCGTATACCCGCGTATACCCTCAAATACACCACTGCATACGTTCCGGTTTTACCGGGACACTACCGGTTTTTAACCAAGTGTCTCAGTGTGCCAAGAAAGTGTTTCGGGACAGCGATTTGTCCCGGTTTCAACATTTTACTCGATAAAATATCAAGAAAATTGAAAACAAAAGAAAGGATCAGATTCTCATGGTAGAAATTGAAAATATCGTAACAAAACTTGAGGACGAGGAATTATCAATAGAACTAATTTTAAAAGTTAATGTGATGAATTTTATGTACTTTGTTACAACTATTGAAAAAAATGGAACAATTCAAATCAACATGTAACTAATTTAAAATCAATGTTATGGATAAAATTAGCTCCAAAGACAATAGTAAATTGGGAAAATGTCAAAAACTCGGTAATCTTTATAAAAACTATAATGTCAAACAATCTTAATTTTGATGAATAAATGTTTTTCGAACAATTCAAAATGTTTGAAAAAATTAATCAACAAAATGACGAGTGGCATTGTTAAAAAATAGAAAATAAATGAATATATATTTTCAAAATATTCACTGATAACAATCATGCATTTTCTGGGCTATTAAAAGTTGTATTTATTTTTGTTTTGTCAGGTTCAAATGCACTGATAACAGCACATGGACAAATTCAAGATAATAACTAGATATAAAAACGGTATATTATAAAAACGTGCTTCAATAACACATCTTATGAAGAATTCTACAACCAAAGTTTGGAAAACAAGCCTTTATTAAAACAAGTTTATGGATCAGTCAAATATATACCTAGTAAAATCAACAGAAGAAACTTTGCACCCCAAAAGATCCCAAGACTAAGAATATGAATTATTATTACTATTATTATTATATTGCTTCTATACATAATTCATTAAAAAAAAATATATATATATATATATTTTCTTTCATATGGTGATATATATATATATATATATATGTTTATAATATTATATATGTATAATATTTATCCATTCAAAAAGTCCCGGGTTCAGAAAAATATAATCTGGTAACCCTAATACATTATATAGTGAGGTTTTTACCTTCTATAAGTGTGCGGTATTTGGCTGTACGATATACTTAATTGACAATCCATAAAGTGTGCGGTTTTTGTTTACCAACCTTTTTGGGGTTAAAATCAAATGTGTGCGGTTTTTGGATGCAACCGATTAAATATATTTAAATTTGCTGAACCCCCCCCCAACAAAAAGTTTCTGGCTACGCCACTGAACAGAAGAGTATATTAAGACCAACGAGGGAGTAGATCCAAGGTCAGTAACTTTTGTGGCCTTTAACTTGTTATCAAGTTAGAAATCGGAAAACAATCAAACTTCGCTTTAGTTTGAGAATAAAGATAAAGTCTCATCATTGAGAAAGATCTGATAAATCAGTTCATGGGACAGATATTAGATAGGCTGGAGGGTTTGGAAATGATGGTTGACAAGCAGCAGCAGACATTTGTTAGTCTCAACGAGAACGTGGAACGCTTGGAGCGAGAGTTAGCCGAACAGAAGTGTAGGTTGGCCGAAGGGTGGAAAGTCGCACATGTCATGGCAGCATTTCTCAAGATTTCATCAGCTCTATTTGGAGCAAATTCAGATTGCCTGGACGAAATCTAAAATATTTCGGTCAAAACTCAAGGAGTGAGTGTTGAAAGCCGATTGGCAATTATACGAAGTAGATTGCCCGGTGGAAACTTGCACAAACGGAGTTTTACCGGAGTTTCCGATAATCCGACCGGAGTGTCCGGCATAAGTTACGGTGAAACGTTTTGGAGTAGATTTTCTGGTGAAAAACATATGCACTTTTCAGACAGCTTACTTATACCTCAGAATGAGTTGAATATGGCTCATGAGTCGATATCTGAGTTCGTCAGTAAAGAGGATACCAGCTATAATTCGTACTCCAGGCTGAAATAATCTTGTAGGAAACAAGTATAAGTATGGCTAGATGGGTAACTGTTTTAGCCTCACAGCTTAAGACTCAGGCAGGAATATGGTGGGGCACCAAGCGCATGTTGACTAGATGGGTGGCTGTTTTAGTTTCACAGCTTAAGACGCAGGCAGGAATATGGTGGGGCACCATGCGTACGTTGGATTTTCCTTGGGTAGAGTTCCGTACGGAATTTCTCGAGTAATTCAACGGCGACGAGTTGCAATCCAGTCTCCAGTCAGAACTGTTGACAATTGCTCAGACCAAGTATAAGACACTGGGGAAGATCATCCTACACAAGTACTAGTTGTCTTGGAGGCTGTATCTTGGTCTTACAGGAGTGGTGGTTATAGCAGTGGTTGATAAAATGCGTAATAAATTTAGAATACATGCGTGCATACAATGAATGAGATCGTTTAGCGAGCCACGCAATGGCGTCAAACTCAGGGTTCAAGTGAGTCAAGGGTCATGACTAGACCATTTAAGTTGCTGAGTGGTACTGTGGTGGATCAGTTTATGATAAATAAGTAGATATATAAATCACTAAGTAGAACTTATTACATAGGTCAAAAACCTTGGTATAAATGTACCAGAACTGAACATTTACCTCAGTTAATCGTACAGACATGGCGTTACACGTGATAAATTACACAGTTCAACTGATTGTATGTAGGGCCCTTTTTTTTTTTTGGGCTTTTCAAGAGCCATTTAGACTCTTGGCCATTAAAACTAATTCCTTCCATCGTTCTCTGTTGTATGCTTGTTCCCAGTCCCCTCCAATTTCTTCTAATAATTCCCTGACGTTATCCTCCCACCTTTTCCGTGGTCTTCCCCATGGACTCTTTCCCTCTTATCATATAAGTCAATGCTCCTTTCAGTACACTTCCATCGGTTCGCCACACGTGGCCTGCCCATTCTACCCTTGTCCCTCTGGTAAATTGTACTACATCTTCTCTTTTGTAGAGCTGGTATAGTTGGGTGTTGGTTCTTATTTCCCATTTCCGTTCCGCATTGTTGAATACGGGTCCGTAAATTTTTCTAAGAATTTTCCTCTCGAATAGACGTAGATTTTCATCATCGCCTTTGTATATAGGGCCCTCAATAAAAATAATACATATTAAGTAAGTATATAACACTGTTATAATAACAGCGATAATTTTCGGGGAAAAGCCTTGCTATGATAAAATTGTTATCGATGATACTATATATAATCTAATATTCATACTGTCGCGACCATAGATAATACATTATGTATTATCTATGGTCGCGACACGTTGGCAATTTGCCGACAGTCTCTTGCAAATCGCACAAATGTTCGTTCATTTTATGAAGAAATTGTGAAAATCCACTAAAGATGTCATAAGAATTTATTTAAGTTTAATTTTGTCAAAAAATAAAAAAATACTTATAAATAGTATTAATAGTATAAATTAAATAGTATAAATAGTAGATATTAATAAACAGTATCATTTAAAACACATTTTATATTTATGGACTAACGTTTCAAAAAACCAGAAAAAAACTACCTTCGCATCAAAATCTCAGCCCTATTTGTAATGTATAATACACTAATGGTGTGTAGCCATAGAATGAGCTATGGTACTGTTACCTCTCTCCACTTCTCCATACCACAGATTAAATAAAATATATAATATATTCATTCATATTATGTAAGTCCTAAGTATATACTATAAATATAAAACTCAAGAAATATATCAGTGCTCTTTGTATGTATATAAACTACTTTCAATATTTCACTTTTGATAATTTCATTATTTTATGAATTAAAAAATAACAATTGATCAACATTATTTATATCTAAGGTTGTATATATATTTTAATTAAACATTTGAATAGGAACACAATTATTTATTTCCATAACAAACACAATATTATACATCAAATATATATAAAAGATATAAATATACAAAATTATAATAATGTTAAAAACTATATTTTCAGGATTTTGACCAAATTAAACTTTTTAAATAAGATAATTTGGCTTCTGGTTCAGTCATAAACATGGAATTCCAGATAGATTTTTTAATCCATATAACCTTATATCCAAGTATTTCCAAATGCCTTTGTTTTAGTTTATGAAGACCCCTTATTTCATTGTCAGTTTTTCGTAGATCTTTTTCATTTAAAAGGAGCAAAATTATCCTAAAAAATTAAGTTTTTAATAAAAGTTATGTCAAAAAAATTTCATCATACTTTTCATTTTTGAAAATATTATTTGATTTCTCTGAAGTATTAAGCAGTATTTCAAAATCCAATTTATATCCATATGGAGAAAATGAGTTTGTTTTTAAATAACCTTTATTGTTAATTAATTGATTAAGTTTTTTTTCTACGTCTAAATAAAATGAACTCGTGTTTTTATGAACTGAAAAATTAATTATATACTTCAACATTAGTAAATAATATATATATTTTTTTATACTACCCAATGATTGAATTTCTTCACAATATTTTGTATGAAACCATGGTACATCAAATTCTGGATTATCAATACACACAGCTCTATTTAATAGCATTAATATTTGTCTTACTTTAATTGGATAAGTCGCCTTAATAATATAATAAATAAATAACCATAACCGTTATATTTGGTAAAAATGTTTCACAATTATCAAATTATTTCATTTAATCATATAATACCTTTGCATAACAATTATTTAATTCGTCATCTAATTTTTCTAAAAATTCAACACTAAATAAATAATCAGCTATGGATTTAGGTAGACTATAAAAATAACATAATGCAAGACATGCTCTCATAAAATTTAAACCAGACATTTTAAATTTATCCCTAAAAAAAGAAAAAAATATTAGATATTAAAAACATGAAATAATCGATTAAGAAAAAATATTTTACCTATTAATGACTTCAACAGCACAAGGTAAAAAGACTATAAATGTTTCGCTATTGGCTCCATATAAAAAAAAGAATGTTAATATTTTTTCTATATTTTCTGCCAATAAGTATTTATAATTTTTGATATAGTATTTTAGACATTTGTCTAATAATTCACCATCATACCAGTCTGATACAACTAAATTATAAATGACCTCTCTTATAGTCCTAGACGATAAATCTTCAGATTTTATAATTTTATACCTGTAAAATATTGTTACAATAAATACTAAAATAAATAATTATTCATAAAATTCTATTATTCACCTATCAAGTATTTTATAAAATAATTCTGGGTCATTCATATTAAGTCGATGATTATACCCACGATACATAGAATTCAGTTGATTAATATTTAAGTTAGGTTCCTGATTTAATATTTCTAGACATCTTTTGTTAAGTGCTGTGCAAAGCCTTACCTAAACATAAATTACATAATTATAGAAATTAAAAATAAAATATACTTAAATATAAATACAAAAATATAAAAAATTAAAATTGATTAAACTATTTAGAAGTTACTGTAGTATTCCATTAAAACAGGAAAGAGAAGTTACCAAATCTAAATAATGAAATAATTAATCTATTTATACTTTTTAGTTAAAATGGTTAGTAACAGATAATATATTATTTATTTATAGTTATTAACATCTATAGTCATATATAAGTTCACTATATGTCATTAGAATTACCTATTACGTTATACTACTGTTGTATGATTTTACATAAAACTAGTTGTACAGTTTATTAATTTTTATCTGTTTCTGATAAAATATATATATAACTGTTAAAAATTTTAATTCTCACAAACATTCATTGTTCACCTATAGTCACCTTATTCTTAAGTTTGCAATGTACTAAAAAAATTCTTACCACATTTTATTGGGTGAATTTTTATAATGACTAAATTTAAATATATAATTTTTTTCTTAACATGTGCATTAATTTATTCTAATAGAACATTTTAAATATATTAATATAACTTAAAATCAAATCAAAAATAAAATAAATAGATATTACTAACATATTGATCTAAGAACATCACTAATGATACTTTCTTTTTTCGATTTACAAAAGCAGTATTAAGTCCTCTACTAATAATGTAACAATCATAAACATTATATTGGCCAATACTATTTAATATCTTTTTGACCCATGGTTCAGGTATTTCATACCCAATTTTGGCATTAGGATAACTTATAAAAAATGAAAATATCTTGCTAAACCTAGATGGAACTATTCCTGACACACCATGGTCTAATTCTTCATTCAACCATATAATCATTTGATTTTCAAACTTATAATTCCTATATGTCCCAGCCATATTGTTATTGAAATTCATGTACCTATAAAATAATTTCATGATTAAATTACTGTTTTACTAAATCAATATATAAAGAATAAATCATTTATATTTTTGAAGATAAGTAAATTTAAAATGTTTACCTGTTACATATTCGCAATAATTTATGATGTTCGCGAAGAGAAGAATTGTCAGAACTTAACCAATCTACTACACTTGACCAGTATACATCACAAAGATGTACATCAGATGTTTTTAGATTTCTAATTATATTGAATAAAGGTCCAATACATAATTGTGAAAAATTATTATTTAACACAAATTGTTTTTTTAAAAGGCCTTCTATATGTTTTCGACGAGATGGAGAAGAAGATGGAACTATACAAGATAATAATCGTAATACAGTAACATCAGCATCAACTTCAGCTTTAGATAACCATTTAGATGTCACTTGATTTATTTCCTCAAATAATTGGTATGGTTCAAATTGCTTCACAATAATCTAAAACAATTATTGTTAATAAATGTTTTAATGTAATTTTTATTATATATATATATATATATATATACATATACCATTTGTAGTTGTATCATATCATAGAGTGCAATATGCTGAATTTTATCTTGTAGTGCAAGTAATAAAGACCTAATGAGGTCAATGTTTTGATTAGCCCAGTAAGGACTGTTTAATAATCTAAGTACTTTTATAATACATTTTACTTTTTCATCATCCTGGGGTTTATTATTAAATAAAATTTGTTCAACTTTCTTAACATATTTGTTCATGGTAGATTTATTTAAAAACCATGGTAAATTATACATACATATTGAAACATGTTTTATATCTTCAAAAGTTTCGCATGAATCTGAAGCCAAAATAGACTAAAATTAATTATTAATGTAATTATTTTTTAAGTTCAATTTTTGTGTTTACTTAATTTTTTTTAAAATTATAGGCCAAACATCTTTAAGAATATATAATCCTGAGAGGTCTCTTTGGCTTACAGTTGATACTGTAAATCTTGAGAGTATGCAAGTTGGTATTTCTTCTATTGGAGTAGTCATTAATAATTCTTTGAGTTTTAGTGATAGTGTTTGGTTAACTTTACAATTTAAATTAACACCAATTTTATATAAACATAATATACTATAAGATAAACATTGAATGTCCATGAACAAATGATGTTTTTCTAATAGATTTAATAAGTTTAAAAAATCATTATTTGTTAAAATATTTTCAAATTTATTTTCAAAAATTATATTGGAACAATTAAGATTCTTTTCGTGCATGCACACTCGATAATATATTATTTGAAGTTCTCTAATCATTGCAATGGCCATTGAAATATTTTCCCAATTCAATTGACTTTTGTTATGTTGTATTAACTCAAAAATATCATGTAAAGATTTTGATTCACTAATTTTGATTGTTAATAAATCATTAGTTCTGGGTAATATAATGTTTTTAATGTCACGTTTATATTCATTATCTTCAGCATCGCTGTCAGTGTCATCAGATTTAAAAGAATAATAACGGTATTTTTTATGTAAATATTGGCAAGAAAATGCTAATTTTAAATTACTCAATTTATAAAATGTATTGTAAGTAGCATAAAATCGAATAGTTTTATTTCTTGATGCCATATAAATTAATTTAGCAGACATTTTTAAATTACCAATTTGTTTTAAAAATGTCATATTATCTGTAAAAGAAAAAATATTTATATTTATATACATGTTAATATTCTGAAAATAACAAAAAAACAATAGTATTGTTTCTATAAGTCTCAATCTATTAGGTACATTTTAAGCATTAATAAAACATAGTTTACAATAAATTATAGAAATTGGGCCCTCAATTTTGTTTAAAGATTTCTATTAAAGTTTAAATGTTAATGCATAAGATACAAACATAAATAAATCAATATAATGTTGCCCTTTTGAGTAATTATATAACAACAACTCAAGTCATACAGACATTTTTCATAACATGATTTATTTCAAATGTATTTATTTCATTAAAATAAATATAAAATCAATACTACATTATATTAATTAAATAAGTACCAACACTCACTCATTTAAACATATAAATTCAAAAAAATAAGAAAACTATACACTATTTTTTTAATGTGAACTTCTAACTCCTAAATGTGTTTTGTTATTTTTTAAATAGTTAAAATATTAAATATTTAAAACTTAAATGTAATTTAAATTATTTAAGCATGACTTAGATAATAGATAAGAATATATGATAATGATCAGGCGTACCATTTCTAAATAATAATTGAAAGTTGTCAGTAATTTGATGACATCATCATAGTAAACGTCATACTGAGCAATGTAGTATTTTGCCTTATCAATAATTTTGTACTAAGTTAGTACTACTAACTCGTAGTGAAATATTTTTCGAATAATAATATATCTTTTACGTTTGTAATTACAAGATTTTTTGTAATAAAATTAAATAATTATCAACATATTGCCTATGTGTCGTTTAGTTTTACAATTTATCTACAATTTTATCATTTATATTCAATTAGAAAATAACAAGTAATGAATTAACTTAATTTTTTATTTTCATATCTTTTCATTATTATCATATTTTTATATTTTCTTTTGTAATAAATAAATCATATTTGTCATTTTTTAACACTTAATTAATTAAAAAATATTTTTGAATTTGTTAGAATAATTTTTATTACTGTTAAAAATCAGAATGTCTGAAGCAAAAGTCAACAGTGATGATATTGAATTAGTATTCCAGCGGCTTAGGTCGAATCCAGGCAATAAAGTAAATACATTAAAATATTATTATTATTATTATTACATGTTTATCTAGTTTTAATTTAAGATAAGCTAATAAATCAATATAAATTAGACCGTGTCATCTTGTTTATATCATGTTATAATAAAAATCATAATTTTTAATTTAGGTTTAATTTTCTAATTAGGTACTTGTAATATTTACGAATCTAATAAATATTTTAAATTCAAGCTTATTGTATTTTAGGTTTTGATTTTTAAATATTAAAGGCTATAGAAAAAAAAAAAACTAAAAGTTCATAAAAATTACAACTATTTTTGTTTAGTACAATATTAACCATTTATATAAATGAATGAAGTAGTCAAAATATTTTTAAATTATTCCTGTTATTTATATATGCAGTAGTGTTCCCATAGGATATATTTCATATATGCCGTATATTCTCAATATTATTTTGAAAATTCACAGGCATACATTATAGGTACTACTAAAAATCTTAAGTCTCAAGCACTTTGTTACGAAATATTAAATTTTATTAGTTTTACAAATTTTAATTTTGGCATTATTTTATAATAGCCGTTCAGTTTTCTCTCAATCTATTAATGTATTTTCATGAAGTAATTGTTGATGATATACCATGTATTTATGATGTTCTCAATTTATTGAAATAATCATAATTTCTGTAAAAAATACAAATGTATACATTTAATTTTTTTTTTAATACTATAACCCTTTTCCACTACCACCGTTTAAATCATTTAAGTACCCATATTCAGATACTTATTGACATAGTATACTCTCAACAATATTAATGGGATTGTCACTGGTTATATAGAAATATATAATGGGCAGAATATATCATTTGGATATTTTATATAATGAGTTTCATATATTTGGCAATATATATAATGACATAAATTTATATTAGAGAGCTTTGAAATAATTAATTTAAACTATGGATAAGATTAATATTAGATTAATTTTTATTTTAGAATAGTATTTTTGCAAAATTTAATATAATTTTTATTTAATTTCACATGTATTGCTACCATGGTATTTTAATATGCATAATCTGTCTACACCTTTGCACTTACACTTCCATGTATTACATTTTTGTACACACATTAGTCGTAGTCCTGACCACCCGAATTGAATAATTTCTATGGTGCATCATAGACTTTTAGAAACGTTTCTTTGAAAATTACAAATTGGTTCCTACTGTGCATAGTTAAAAGGTGGCTTTCTTTTGTCTCTATTTTATACATATTATTGTCAACTGTAAAGACAGAAGAAACATATTTTTATAATTCTATCTGGTATATTAATAAGAGGTAAAATACTTGTAGATACCTGAATCAATAACTCTAATAATGTTTCTCATATCACTGCAGGCCCTATAGACGTTTGGAATTTGAAGAGTTACTGACTGGCTAACTTTTCCAAGAAGAAAACGATTCTCAGAAAATTGTTTCATTTTTATAGCTTTGACTTTTAAATTTTTATGTGATTCAATTCTATTGTGATAAGTAGATTTTATTCTCAAAGAAACTTAAAATAATTAATTAGTAAATAGTAAAATAAAAAAAAATAATAATTAAAATATAAGTACTATAAGTTTTTTTATAGGTATCTTTGTTGTTTTCTGTTCTATCATTATAATTATTTTGAGTGCTTGATGCAGTGGAAATAAAATACAGTACTTTTTCATAGTCTTCGTCAAATCTTAGATTATTTAATAAATTCATAATTCGCAAAGCTCTTCTAGGCTAGAATAGAAATCTTCTACAGCATTATTTTCTGCTTTTGATGTGGGGAAGTACACTTGAATTAGTACAATATCATTTGGTTTAGCTTTAAGCTTAATTAATATAAGTCTATCGTTTTATGCTATTTCTTCACTATTTGGTGGCCCCATTTTTTATTTATTAAATATTTAATAAATTCGACACCAGCCCTTCCTGGTTTTTCATCACCAGAATAAATGATACTGTAGTTGTCTAACCAGAATCACTATTTCCTGACCATCTAACTTCGCTCACCCCTAGTATGTTTCTCTAATTTGCTAGTATTTAGCATAGACCTAACGTTCCATATCCCAATAGTTTTCCATCGATTTCGCTTACTGATGACCTGAAAAGCCATGAAGTTTCCCTGCTGGCACTGTCATTTTCGAGTATGTATGTTGCTGTAACTTTAAAACCTTCTTCCATTTGATCCATATTACTTTATAAGGAATTATAATGGGGTGAGTTTCCTCTTCTTTCAAATTGCAGTTGATAAGCCAGTATTTAAAATAACTTTATGCTGCCATCATCAATTCCTTCCATTGCCGTTAGGTTTGTTGTTAAACTCACCAATGGTCGGTAGTGGTAATTACTGCTGTCCTTCACTATCTCTTTTTTATTGAATTTTATTATAAGCAGGTGTTAATATGGATCTATTATAATCCCCGATCAAACAGGGGTAGAATTAAATGAAGAATAAATCTTCTGACGCTAGTGACTGCAAAGTGTTAGTTCATGTGTTATAGTACTATCGTTTCGAGATCTGGTTTGAGTACTACGATTGCTGTCCAACTGGTGATGCTTTCTTCCCTTTATATGTTGTTCTTTGTATCATATTATTCTGTGAGGAGGGATTTTGAGTCCTACTAGTTTGTGGTGTCTTGTGTATGGTCCTTGAAAGAGTTTGATGTCTATGTAGTTCATTTGACTTAAGTGTAGGTGTTCGAAGTTGACTTTGTATTGACTAACTTGACAATAGTTGTCCTAAAGGTGATCTTTTAGTGAGGGCGTTGTATTTTGGTCATTAGAGGTATCTCTGAGTTCTGAATTTTGATGTATGAGATCATAAATTAATTCTTCTGCTGTATGTTCGCGGTCGACATTGTAAATTAGTACCTTTAGTTTTATTGTCGTCTGAGTCACAACATTCAGATTACTTTTCATAACTGTCGTTCTTGTATTTGAATACTCTGGTTTTATATAAATGTCTCCTGTTATTTTAACGGTATTTGTTATCATTATCTTGGTTGTTGGATATCTTTTTAGTATCTCTGCCTAGGCATGTTTCTTTATCTCTATTAAAATCTTGCTCTCAGCGTTTTTATTATTAAACCTGGATCTATTTGTTCATTTTTGGCTATTTCTATGAGTTTTTTAGAACGAGGTTTATTATTTTTCTTATTTGTTACTTCGGTAAATTGCTCTTTTTCGCCATCAGTATTTGGCCGTTTTCTCTCACATAGTGTAGATGATATTGGTCGAGGTGTTTTCTTATTAATATTTTTCTCTGATTTGTTTTGTAAACCATATTTAATGTCTCTTTTTTAATTATCTTGAATAATAGAGAATAAATTTTCAGTTTGCTCTAGTTTTCCTTCTAGTCTTTTTGTTCGAACATACATATTATATCAGTGGTTTTTATTTTATTCATGCTTGTTTCAAGTTCGCCACACTAGTTATCATTATATTGTTTATCTATAGTTTGTCTACTTCCAGGATTTTAAATAGTATTTTGTGGATCTCTTCTAATTGTTAATGAGATCTTCTAGTTTGTTTATTGTATTGTAATTATTCTGTTCTTCTTCCGAAGTTGTTAATTCTCTTTGTATCTTTAATGGAGACTTAGTTTTTTTTTTTTTTGTCTATTAATGTTTTATTTCACTTTGCTTAACACCCCCTTGGCAGGTTTTCTAGTGAGTTCATTGATCTCTGATGGGAGAGTTTTTATAACAAATTAATAATTAATTATATGGTTTACACTTATTGTTATAAAAAAGGTAGTAAATTATTTCAAAACTTTGTTTAAGTAAAGAAATATTAATCTAACTATAATTTAGTTTTAATAATACATTTTTATGACAATAACTATATATCTACTTATATTGTGCATATCTATAATAAATCAAATTGTATGGATCAATTTATTAGGAAAATTGTCTACAAATTACAACACTCTTATAATAGTATAATTGTATTTCCTTAGACTTCACATTTTTGTAAATTTAAAGCTTGGTTTTAAGAAATGTATCCATTTTTTTCTTAATCTATTTTCTATTTATCAATACTACTAATTATATTAAATTAATAGTAGATGAAAATTATATTGATCAATCAAAAAAAAAAAACAGTTAATGGTTATTCATTTTATATATTTTTTAGACTTGTTTTGATTGTGATTCCAAAAATCCAACATGGTCAAGTATTACATATGGTGTATTTATTTGTTTGGACTGCTCTGCAGTCCATAGAAGTATGGGAGTCCATCTAACTTTTGTAAGGTCTACTCAATTAGATACAAATTGGACATGGCTACAACTACGACAAATGCAGTTAGGTGGAAATTCTAATGCTGTAAGGATTTTTTAAATTTTAATGAATTTATTTTATAAAAAGTATTTATATTTTCGTTATATTATAGATGGCTTTCTTCAGGCAACATAATTGTTTGTCAAAAGATGCACAGCAAAAATATAATTCTAGAGCAGCTCAATTATATAGAGATAAACTTTTACAAACTGCTAGACAAGCAATGAAAACTTATGGCACACAGGTATGCAACTAATTATACAGATTATTAAAAAAAAAAAAAAAAAAAAAATGAATGTATGTAATACAATTATTTGACTAAAATAATAAATTAAGTTTACTTATTCAGTTATTTTTGGACCAATCAAATGTAAATGAAACAATTGATGTGAAGCCAGTAGATTTTTTTGAACAACATTCAGTTAATGTTAATTCGTGCAAAGAAAATGTTTTAACTAACAATTTTATGACTTTTACATTTTCAAAACAAGTATATATAATAATTTTTATACTATAATTAATATGTTAAATAACAATAAATAAATATTTTATTTTTTTTTTTCAGGAAAAAGGTGATACACCTCTATTAGGAAGTACTAAAGTTATGAATGATGCAGATCAAAAATCTATAGACCATAAAACATTATTAGGGGGTCGTCAGGCACATAATAAAAGATCAGGTGTATGTATACTATTCAGTTATAAATAAATATGGTGATGTTCAAATATTTACTTATTGATTATTATGATTATTTCTGAGTTAAATTTTATTTTACTATTATTAATTATAATTTTAATCATTAGGGCCAACACTTAGGGTATTAGCTATTAAATTAATGAACAAGAAAATTTTATCTTTTAAGGGAAGTTTGAATATCTTAGATGTGTGTATTTATTTGTATTTTGATCTTTCACTTAAATTTTAAGTTGGTATCTATGGTATCCAATTTAATCAAGTGATCATAAAGAATTAAAAATAATTTATATTTATATGTTTTTAGTTAGGAAGTAAGAGACTAGGTTTGGGTGCTCAAAAAGTGAGAGCTAATTTTGCTGATATCGAAAAAGAAGCAGAATTAGCAGATAAAATTAAATTTAGTGAACCTGAAAAAACAGAAAATAAAGAAAAATGCAACGAAGACAAAGAATCTCAGGTAAAATGAAATTATATATAAATTGTTTGATGTTATAATTATGTTATAATATTGCTATATTATATTAATGTTATATTAATTGTAAAATAACAAACTTATGATTAACTTAGATGTCATCAATGAGATTAGCATATCAGGATTTAAGTATTAAAAAGAACAAAGAAGAAGAAAAATTAAAACAGTTTGATCCCAAAAAAGCTGCTCAACTTGAAAGACTTGGAATGGGATTTACTTCTAAAAAGTATGGTTAATTTTTAAGTTCTAGATAAATGAGACTATGTACAATATAAATTATGATTTGTTTCTTGTTAGTATTGTTAGCCATTCAGCATTAAATGATATGACAACACTAGATAAAGAAGTTAAAAAACAATCCATGTTAGATCATAACGAAGATCAATTTTATGATTGTTTTGATGAAGCTAAAACTGCTGAAGTGTTACAAATAATGAGCAAGTAAGATTTTTCAACATTATGCACTACAAAATAAAAAAAAAATTACTGCAAATTTCCTTAATTATTTTATTTATTTTTATTATATAATAATTACTTAATTACTGATATAATTGATTCTTCTTTATATATACTTGGCTTGGTATTAATAATATTTATCATAGTAATGTCTTCAACATTTTGAAATTATGTTATTTTTTGTGAAATAATATACTAAAAATTAATAATAAATCAAAAGCGCATTTTGTATTTAAATTACTTTTTGTTATTTTAAATAGAGCTCGTCAAATTACTAGCGATGACTTTTTTGACTTTGATGATTCCATTAGAAGTTTGAAAACATCTTGTACACCATCTAAAATTGATGTCATAAAAAATGATTGGGATAATATTAAACCAGCAAAAAAACCTCTCAATGATGAGAAAAACAACAGTTGGGACAATTTTGAATATTCTAATAAAAAACAAGGTAGAAATAATAGAACAAATAATATTGCATCTCCACCTACAGATAATAATGAAGCTTTAAAAAAATTTGGCGGAGCTAAATCAATATCATCTACTCAATATTTTGGTGATAATCAATCTCCAGTAAGTTATTTTTGCAAAATTTTTTAGGTTGTAGGAAATATCAATGTTAACAAATTATTTATTCAAAAACTATCTAGTTTTTAAAGATATTAAAACCATTTATAAAAAAAACATCTCCCATTCTTTTTCATATACAAAAAAATTCTAATTTTAAATTTACTTAACTTAACAAAAGTTTCAAATAATTTGAAGTAGTTTGTTATCAAAATCATATTATAATACATGTGCACACATAGAAAATTAAAATCCATAACATTTTTTTATATATAGAATTATGTGTATTTTATAATTTATATATTATTTGAAAAATTGTAGAAACAAAAGATGAAAAATATTATAAGTAGGATGTAATATACAAGAAAGTTTTGAGGTTTTAAATTTTAAAGTAGAGGGTTTAGAGTAGTGGTTTTCAAATTTTTCAAATCGCCACTCCCAATTTTTATTTTTTTTTAATGGGACCCCTACAAATAATAAATATAAAAATATGAAACTTATGTTTTATTCTTTATGTACTTTGTTACAACTATTAAAAAAAATGGAACAATTCAAATCAACATGTAACTAATTTAAAATCAATGTTATGAATAACATTAGCTCCAAAGACAATAGTAAATTGGGAAAATGTCAAAAAATCAGTAATCTTTATGAAAGCTATAATGTTGAACAATCGTAATTTTAATGAATAAATGTTTCACGAACAATTCAAAATGTTTGAAAAAATTAATCAACAAAATGATGAGTGGCATTGTCAAAAAATAGAAAATAAATGGATATATATTTTCAAAATATTCACTGATAACAATCATGCATTTTCTGGGCTATTAAAAGTTGTTGTATTTATTTTTGTTTTGTCGGGTTCAAATGCACTGATGAACAGCACATGGACAAATTATTACAAATATTTATCCATTCAAAAAGTCCCAGGTTCAGAAAAATATAATCTGGTAACCCTAGTCTACAAGTACTTGGTTTTTCTGATGATTCCGATGATATCTTGGAAAGGCCCCATTTAGATGATACAAACAGAGCAGCTCAAGTGATCAAATGAGCAACTAATAAGATAGGTTTAAAAATTCATATTGATAAGACAAAAATAATGGAACTGTTAGGTGAGGAAGACAACACTATCACAAGAACCCTATCCTAAAAAGTTCATCAATTTTGATACCTATAGTTGCAATATTGATAAAAAATAGTGACTGGGCTAGAGAGATAGGTATAAGGATAATAAAAGCAGAAAGAGCATAATTCATTCTTAAAGTTAAAAGTAATCTCCAAATAAACCAAAGTTATTATTGTACACAGCAATAATAAAACCCATGTTTACATATGAGTTTTAGGCATTGATAACAACTAGCACGATGAAAAGAATACTCATAACTTTTGAGAACAAAATATAAAGAGTAATATGTGGATCAGTATATGATAATGAGAGAGAAACATGGGGAATAAAGTATAGTAAAAAACTAAAGGAAAAATGAAAATTTTATCAGTAGTAATTTTTGTAAAGGGACAAAGGATTCAATGGCTAGCACACATATGACGATGGAATCAAAATGATATAAATAGAGTAGTTCTATAGTGGAAGCCTATGGAAAAGAGACCCCAAAGGCGATTAAGAAAAGGTGATTAGGACCTTGACAAAATGAAAGTTCAAGAATAGATATAGCCTGAGACCAAGAAAAATGGAGGAATCTATTGATAGCAGCAACAAATTTTAGAAAGTATAAAGGGCCAGATAAAGAAGAAGAAGCACTAATTTTAGAAAATACTTGTAAAATATTTATAATTATTTTAAATTAATTTGTAAATTTATAATTATTCAATTTTCAGTATCTCTAATTTTGAATAAAAAGTAGAAAATAATAAATCTATTACTTCATATTTCAAATTTGTAATTATAACATTAAGAAAATAATATCTCCTTTATTATTTAATTTTATTTAATTTTAATGAAGCTATACTTGAAAATAATGTTTTGTGTCTAATTGCTTCATTAGTTATTTAAATCTTGTATTGTATTCTTAGTAAAATTATCTTATTTTTAGTCTGAAAAATCAAATCTCTCCCGTTTCGAAGGAAGTAATAGTATTTCATCAGCTGAATTATTTGGAAGAGAAGAAATAACAGGTATTAATTCTACGTATCAACCACCAGACTTGGATGATGTAAAGGAAAGTGTTAAACAAGGTGTAACAAAAGTAGCTGGTAAATTGTCATCTTTGGCTAATGGAATGATGTCATCATTTCAGGTATTAATAAATATAACTTATTCATATGTTTCTTGCTATTTTAATTACAAAAATAAAAATGTATTAATATAGAATTAAAGTAATATTATTTTAAGAAAGAACAAACCATATAAAATTAAATTATAATTGTTTTCAAGGTTCCAATTAAAAAAAACATTTCAAGTAAAATCTTGCGATAATTGTTAATAATAATAAAAATAAAAAACTTAATTATAGCTTATTATTCAAACTATATTCTTGGCAATTCCCATTTATGGTTATATCACATTTTTAGTGCTTTACAAGTAGTAACGGTAAGAGAATAACCTATATTACAATTTTTTTGCATCTTCAATTGTTTGATTGTTTACTACAGTTTTCCCTTCTTCCCTCCTTTAACTTAAAATCCCTTTTAATTATCCTTTTCCTATCACCTGTGCCTGTTATGATTTCATTAATGTACTCCATTGTTGGACTTTCTCTTCCTTATCCATATGGTCTACATCATCTGTGATTCTTTACAATTAACAGATAATACAGATGTCCTATAATTTTGTTCATCTTTGATATTTTTGCTATACCATAGTTTTTATTTTTCTTTTATTCTGTTTAATATTACTTATATAATTCTTAAAATAATTAACTAAAACTTTATATTCAAGTACATTTTTTGTGTGATTATTATTGTTTTTATTAAATATGTGTTTACTTTTATTTCTAGGAAAAATATGGAGGCTATTAAAAATATGAATTCATTACAGAAAATTCAGAAATTTGCAATTTTTTATATGATAGCATAAGTGTTATATTAATATATATTTTGTATATGTGTATAAACATTTTATATAATAGCAATTCATTCAATTTATTATATTGTTATGATCAAGGTAGTATGTTGTATTTTAGTATTTTTTAGTGTTATAATGTTTATTTATTCAACTATGGAGTTTATAAAAAATTCAAAAATAGTTAAATTATTTAAAAAAGATATTTAAAAAATTAATAAATATAAAAATATAACTATATTTTTATTAGCTATAGTATCAATAATTAAGTAGTAATTCATATAATTACATTTTTAATTTTTAAACATTCATTTCTAGCATAAGTACCATTGTCAAACATACATTTTACATTATTTTTAATTCTAAACTTCCGATTATGAACATTTAAAAAATATACTTGTATCACTAATTATGTATATGTATTTATATTATTTAATATTCTTTATATATTACAAAGTATACTCTTCTGTACTATAAAATATAATTTCCAATCAAGGAATATTTTGTTTTATTAGAAAAATAATAATAGTTTTTTGTTGTTCTATTCTTATGTATTCCAATGGATGTATAAATAAGACAAAAATGTCACCATGTAGCCTATAAATTAATTATATGGTATAGATCACTCAAATAGTATATAGTAAGCACTCAAATAAGCATTTAAAAAACTTAAAATTAAGCAAAAATATTTATTCAAATAAAAAAAAAACTAAAAATAATCAAACAAATTAAAAATAAATCTTTATCTTTATATTTAAAAAAAAAATAAACTTCACTTTCGAGACTTGAAGAACTTTATGGATTTTCCTTAGGATTTTCTGAAAAATAAAATGTAAACAATATTTACAAACAGTTGAAAAAAATTTATTGATTAAATATTACATATTGAATGACAATGAGACAATGAAACATTTTTTGTTTGCAGTTCTATAATGGCTTTAGTAAGAACTTCGAAATTACTTTTTATGTAATCCAAATTGGCTTCTAAACCCAATTTTAGAATATATAGTTTTGCTTTTTTAATGCTAACTGCGTCGTTTTCATCTAGACAACTTTTGCATGACGAATTGTATCATTATCATTTTTTTTGCAAGACGTGTGAAATTATCTATCGAATCGTTAATAATTGCAATGGAGTATCTATAACATTTCCGGGACAGGTACAGAAATCGGGAGAACTGTACCAATCCCCAACATTTCCTAAACTAACATTTAATGATAGCGTTGTCACCATAAAAGGCGATATAACAAATTCTGAAGAAGCGAAACGTAAAATTGAAGGAATTGTTAAAGACTTGGATAGTACCTACTGACTTTTCAAATATTTTTATTTCTAGTGATGGGAATTATTAAATTCGCAAAAAAACCTAAAGCTAACGGATTTTAATTTAAATAAATAATTTTATGTAGTTTTAACATTGGAAAGTTTTTGATACATGTATACGTTTCATTTCATTTTGAATAAGCTGATACTAATTTTATTTTAAATATTTTAAAATATTTTACCAATAAATATACGTAATCTGTATTATTATAGAATTTCTGTTTTTATTTTAGTATTTTACGATGGACGAAAAAATATGTAGAAAAAATATTTTTAAAAGCGCCAAGTAGTATACAATCATTTAAATATATGTATCCAAATTAAACCCTCTCTCGCGAGCCTAATATAACTCGGTGGGGTACGTGGCAATCAGCTGTTTTAAATTATTCGAATAACTTTGACAAAATTAAAAATATTTTAAATTTAAAATCCTATGCTGCAATTGCAATAAAAAAAAAAATTGAACTCATGAAATGTAAAAATTTGCATAAAAATTTAGCATTTATTTCCTATAATTTTGGATTTGTAATTGATATTATTTCAAAATGAGAAACTTCTAAAATTGCATCAATCGAGCGCCTAGAAGAAGTTAAAAATTCCATAAAATAATTGGAACGTGTTCCTGGAGAATTTTAAGTTTTAACTGATTAAAAATTTCAAAATATATTGAGAAAAACCCAGGATTTAACGTTGAAACGTCGATTTTGAAATGGATTACAATTCAAAATAATTAACGTGTATGAAATTTGCACTTATCACTTCTGTTGATGTTTAGAGGTCATTTAGCCAATATAAAGCAATAATAAGATTGAATCACCGTAATTTTAAATTTGAATATCTCAAATTATATGTCATTTCTAACTCTTTACCCCACGAAGACTATTTGGATGATTCAGAATAAAAATGTTTGATTTGTATTATTTATTATTTATAAATTATAGTGAATTCTATCTTATTTTCAATTAATTATTTCAATATTATAAATAAATATTTATGAAGTAATAAAGAATTATATAACTAAATATTTTTAACTTTGTACTAAATTAAAATCCGTTCCGTAGTTATTACATAAAAAATACTTTAGCATTTATTAACTTAAATTTATTTAAATGTTAGATATAATACATGAAAATGTTGTAGGAAAGCATAAGTAAAATGACTGTGAACGTTGCTCCAAAATATCATCGCCATTTTGTTGGATACTACGTTGGTGTAAAAAACAAGATTAGTAGAGAACATGATTGAAGTTACTGTTACATTGCCACAAGTTAATCCAATTCTAGTAAGGTTTAAAAAGTTGAAGGGCCATGAGAATTATGCTGAAAAATTCAAAAGTTAAATCAATAATTGTAATGGACCGCTAGGATAAAAAAATAAATAAATTGATTAATGAAAAGAGTTAAACAATAAGTGGACTGTATTTCTATAAATATACAATATAGTATGTACAATGAAGTTAAAGTAACTGTTTTGTCAACGGGTTCCTTACCGTGAGGTTGACCCGAATGACGGCAACACGTACCCAAAATACCCCAAGGAAATCAATGGATTTTGTACGACAGACCGGGTGACTTTAGTACGAATAAGAAAACGAGAATGCGCGTTTTTGTTACGGGCTGTAAAGCGCCGACGTACTATTATAAATAAATACTAATGACATACAGCATTAGGGACGGACACCCGTGGGGTGGGAACTATAAAGCTAATAAGACTAATAATAAACATAATACAAAATGTATAAACAGAGAAGCCGTATCGGCAATAATACAATAATATTTTTTAATACAAAAATAATAAAAAGAAAAAGAAACCTGTCCGCGACGGATACAACTGGACTGGATTCGGCAGCACGTTCAAAGCGACGATACAAAAAAGAACGATGACGTCCACGCAGCTTGACTCGTCCAGCCGTGACAATACCCAGCGGTAACACGTACACTGCCAAGACAAAGATGCACAGTCTTCGATGGACACAACCAAAAAAGGGCAGGACGCTGGTGAAACACACGAACGTGCGAGAGGTCCGTACCGCACGGGAGCTCGCACACGACAACAAAACGGCCTTTTTGTACCGGTATAGGTCACACGAACTAGTCAAGAACCGGGAGTGAATAGAATGTTCTCGTACAGATTTATAAATATCCAAATGTTGGATAAGGATTATTGACTCGAATCGATATGGCGTGTATTAATTGAACAGTAATTTTATTTATTTTATATCAACTATAACTGTTGTGGAGTCGTTCGCTATACGCTATACAAACTTCTAGATGTGACTAAAATACTGTCACATGCACTCATAACATATAAAAAAAAATTAATGATAAACTAATCACAATCACGTACAATCACAATCTAATATACTTCAGGTGTTGAAAATATTAATTTTCAATATAAACAAAAAAGATAATAATTTTAACCAATTTTTTAAAGGCAACAGCACATAATTTTTGGTTTGACACATCGTAATGAACGGAAATCTTATGGATTATATTATCAAACTTTTAATTGATATTTAGAGCTTGGAAGTTTTACAAATTTACAAATATTTATTTTAAATCAATAAAAATATATACTTTTTAATATTTTACTCTATTTTACTATAAAATGTTATCAAAACTTTCAAATATTTGTTTTATAAATTTATCAAAGCTTACAAATTACTCAAAAATCAAAATCATTGCATAATAAAATTATAATGTATTTGATGTTATCAAAATAAATGAACAACGATTATCTGTTTATAAATATTTATACATGGAAAAACTCTCCATGTCTACTGAGGTAATTGGGGAGACGCAGATGAGTGCTTACCGACGTTTTATTTTTCAGCATTTCGAAAATATTACGAAAAAATAATAAAATTAGATATACCTAATAAGTATTATCATAAATTAAATATACTTAAGAACGGGCCTGATTCGATTCAATGCAATTGAATATGTTTATTGTGGCCCCTTTCAACTTGCGGCCGGGGGCTATAGCTTCCCTCCCAATCCCCTTCCTTGATCCAGCCCTGGTCATGGTTGTGAACGGGAATTAGAATACACGGATCTCGGACACGTGGACAAAAAATATATTTAAGCCCTTGTATTTATTATTACCCGTGTATATTGCATATTAATTCAGAATACATATACCCAGTGGCGAAGCGTCATAGGAGACAATGTTTACCCACTTTTAATACGGATACATAATTTAGTTTTATTATATTTTATTTATTTCAATATTTATCATAGTTTTAATTTTGTGCCATACCGTATAAGTATTCTTAAAATAGATTAGTTGCGGACCGTGCTCGCGAGCTGCCTCCGTTGTAGTGTAGAGGTTAATTCTATAAACATCCAAATACAGATATAAAAATTAATATTATGAGACGACGCGTTGCAACGTCTCGTTTTTCAAGGCACGGTGTGCAGGGGGGATAGGTTATTGAGTGGGAATTATCATTGCGCTATGAGACATGTCTCGCGTTCGTATTTATTATTTCATTTTAATTTACATTATTGTAATCGGCATTGCTTTTCGCGTTGATGAGTTATCGTTCAACGCAATTTTGTTATCGTTGTTATTGGTTGGTTTTTATTTTACGATATATTTATTTCTTGTGTGATATTCGTATCTAAATATTAAAATATTGTACTATTGTCATTCGCCACTATGCCTGATGATTTAATTAATGAAATGTTGAATGATGGAATAGTAAACTACTCGTACGAAAAAAAATATGAAATAAAAAATAAAAGACCGTGTCCAGGGGCAGATAGGGCCGCCGGGATACTGGGATTTTCATGGTGGGCCGCTGCTTATATTGATGAAAATGGTCCGATAAAAAATATTACTACTAATACTATTATACATGTACATATATACAAATAAAAGTATACTGATAATATATACTTAAATCTAGCTTAAAACTATAAATATCATAGTAAAGTCTTTTAAAATGAAGAAGAAAAAAAGTATTTATAGTAGGGTTACATAATTTTAAATGTAATTTTTTTTATGTATTATTTTAATTGAATGATCAAAAATTAAAAATTAAATTTTATTCAAAGTGCAAATTTTTTTTCTTTAATGCATATTTTAATATATTAGTGCATATACTTGTACATGTTAAAGAACTTTTAGCGCATATTTGATTGGTTTTTAATGCATATTATTCCGTGCTATAATGATAATTAATTGTTCAGATTTAAATTATCATATGTAGTCACTAATAAAACCCCACGGCAAAGTTGATTATTGATATATCGTGTTTTTCCACAATAATTATACGCGAACCATGTAAATAGTATAATATGCTAAAATGTTGTATAACCAGGTATGTTTCAAAACGAATTAAAAAGAAAAGAAGGTGCAGAAAATAAAATAAATGAAAATAGAATTGTTTGAAGGAGCAAAACATGTGTAAAATTGGATAGTATAATATATATTATAATTTTAAATATTATTTAAGAACGTCGAAAAAAAAGGTGGTGATTGCCGAGTTGGTTTAATCTAAGTTGAGGTAATTGTTTAATTAGTTTGAACTTGGATATAATCATGCGGATCGCTGTATTTTATTTTTCCCGGGCCGGTCAGATTATGCCTATCTGTCCTTGACCGTGTCCCTTTTATCATAAATACATATAAACTGTAGGTAACACATCTATACAAGCTTCTATAGTTGTCTCTAGTTTTTCTACTGTACTGGCTTTTCGTTGGTTTCACCACATAATTAATTCCAGTGGTGTTTTGGAGGATACGCGGGTACAGTGGCGTACTAACGGAGGGGGATAACACCCCCCTGAAATTTTTAGGATGAATTAACTTTTTATGAGAAAACTAAAATATCTGGTACTTGTAATATCATATTGTACTTAGGTATTACAAATTCTCCATCATAATAAAATAAACCGCGAACATTTTAAAATACTTTTGTACCATACTACTATACTATACCTTTATACTATCAATTATTCAGAACTATATACCAAAGAAACTAATAAAATTATCCGAAAATAAAATCGAGATAAGTACGCAATTGATGTCAAAACATTGGAAATTCATAATAAGCTCATGTGACAATATTATAAACAAAGAAGTTTTATTGTGGAAACAAAGATGGATAGCCGCAGAAAATAATCTTCCTTGCACTTTTATAGATGCAATTAGTTGTTGTGATGAGTTACTGTTCCCTAAAGTATACCAATATTTAAAAATTGGCGCTACGTTGCCCCGTCACAGTTGCTAGCGTGTGTCGAACGGAGCTTTTCAACGTTGAAATTCTATGGGGGGGATATCGACTAAATGGATTAGCTTATCTAAGTATCCAAAGAGAAATACCAATAAAAAGTAGTGAGGTGGTCAATATTTTTTCGGAAAAAAATAGAAAATTAATGTTTTAAAATAAATAATAATAAATGATTATTATAATTATATTATAATTATATGATTATTATTATTATATTATTAATAAATTATTATTATATTATTTAATATTTTTTTTTTATGAATGGCTTAGTAGTAAGTTAAGTTATTTTAGACTTCAATACATATTTTATTATGACATGTTAATAAAAAAAAATATTACAAATAAAAATTAGTAATTTATTAAAATGTACTATATGTTTTTTTATATTCAGGTTCAGGTTTTAAAAATTAAACCCCCTCCTCCCCCCAAAGTTCAGGTCTAAGTACGCCACTACGCGGGTATACGACGTATACCCGTGAACCATCATGGTGATTTAGTATATACTTTTTAAAAGTAACACCAATACGCACATATACGCACGTATACGCTCGTATACCTACTTAATAAATAGAAACAAAATCCATAGGACATATGTTTATTTTTAGAAAATTTGTTATTGGTAGGTTAATAATAACATTGATAACTGATTATTATTAATAGCTATCGATTATCGTCTAACTATATTCATTAAGTATCAAATTATAATATCTACAAGCGGCCGTTGACGTTTCTATACAAGAATATACTAGATAGTGCGGCCATTGATTAAATAAACATAGATAGCCCATGCGATGATAAATATTGAAAACGCCTAAAGGCGCGTCCATATAGTATGAAAACATGACACAGCTTGAATCATGTGTGATGTTTGCAAACATTACATACTGCACACACGTTCACCGTACACACAGTATTTAGTGTATTTGATTTTCGTGTTGTACATGAATGAAGTAAGTTGCGTAAACACTGAATACAGTTGGATTTTCGTATTCGTCCAGAGTGGTTATAGGTGTTTTGTTAAAAAATGAGTGATACGGATGATAAATTAATGATTGCTTGTGCCGCGTACGTAGTAATGAATAGTGTAGTTAAAAAAAAACAAAAACGTAAATTAAAAAAAAATCGCCGATTTTGGGTTAGTGAAATTTTTAAAAACCGTGTTCGCTATAGTGGAACAGACTTATTTAATGATTTGAAAATGAATAGTGCTGTTCATTTCTCAAATTTTTGTCGTATGAATATAAATGATTTTGAAATGTTACTTCAATTAATTGGACCTAAGATAGCAAAAAGCGATTCACATTTTAGGAAAGCCATACCTGAAAAAGAACGACTCCTCGTAACTTTACGATACTTAGCCACTGATGATTCGTTTCACAGTCTTGCTTATTTATTCAAATTTTCGAAACAAGTAATTTGCAATATTATACCACAAGTATGTGAAGCCCTCATGGAAGTATTGGATGAATATTTACAAGTAAATATGTATATAAGCATACATTTGAAAAATTATTAATTGACAAATTATTTATGTAACACAAGTTTACGTCTTGTAAAAATTAACTATAATTTTTAGTCACAAAAAAATACATTTTTGGTTTTAATAATCCAATAAAATAAATTTTAAGCGAATAAAAAAATATGATCAGTAAACAAGTATTTTAAGTAAAATAATAAATTAAACTTAAATGATAAAACAATTAATAATATTATTTCTAACCTTTTAGTAAATCTAATTATTTCTAGTTGATATGCATTTAAAAATATTTTGGTTTGTTGGTTAGTTCAAGGATTTCAATTGAATTATACATGGGTGATTGAGATATTTGTGAAAAAGTAGATGAAGGTTGGTGATCAATTTAAAAAGTGGAAGATGGTTGAGATATAAAAGAAGTGGGAGATGACTGGGAAGATGTTTGTAAAGTTGATACCCAAGATGGAAAATACAGATTTGATCCTTATTGATGTTGAAATGACCGATAATTTCCTAATTCTGCTTCAAATATGACATCATTTATTATTTTTTTCACGTGTATGCATGTTTCTGAGTCCAACTGTCTTAATTTTTCTGCGATATATTGACCAAACGCATCGAACTGATCTTTAGTATTTTTAGTAGAGGCTAAAGTTTGCAGTGTATTCCACGCTACGTCCAATTTATGATCATCTGATGATTTATTTTTTTTCAATGGTTTTTTGGGGGATTTAAATATCTTGCGTTGAGGGTGTTTATTTGAATTCACTTCATTTTGAACAATTTCTGTTGTTTCCACTTCACTCACATTGTTAAAATCATCTTGGTAATTGTTATCGGTGCTATCCTCGTTTTCAAATTCTTGATCTTCAGCCAAATCAGCTGTAGCAGACTGAAAATTAAAATATATTATATAATATAAATAGTTAACAACTATATATAATCGAGTTATGAAATAACTTAAATTTTATAATATTAAATTAATATTGTTCATAAACTTTAATGATCCAGAATACTGGTTTTAATTTTTAACTTTAAAAATAAAAAACAAAAGTTCCAAAAATTAAAGAGTACAAAATAATATTCTTAAATACTTTTAATAACAGTAAGTATATACATTCCTATAATTTTATATGAATGTATACATATTTATAAAAATTATCCTTAAATGCTCTTTTCTTCTAAGTGTTAAAAAATGTATCATCATTAAAATATATTTTTGTATATAGTCTTTAAATACTATTTTTTAAAGTGAAAATGTATTTGTAATTATATAAGTAATAATGATAATAATAATTTTGTGGATAAAATCATACTAAAATTCTTAAATACTTTTTAGATTCCAAAAAACCCTGAAGAGTGGTTAAAGATATCTCAAGGTTTTTTTAACCAATGGAACTATTCAAACTGCTTAGGATCAATGGATGGTAAACATATAATAATTCAAGCTCCCATTAATACTGGCAGTGAGTTCTTTAACTATAAGGCAACCTTTAGTATCGTACTATTTGCATTAGTAGATGCAGACTACAACTTTTTGTTTGCTGACGTTGGGTGTCAGGGGAGAATCTCAGATGGTGGCGTGTTACTATATAAAAAATTGGTGAAAGGAGAACTTGGCATACCAAATCCACAACCATTGCCAGGAAGAAACAGACCCGTCCCTTACGTATTTGTAGCGGACGATGCATTTGGATTACATGATAATATAATGAAACCTTATCCGGGGATTCAAGAAAAATGTTCTGAAAAAAGGGTAAGTTAAGGTATCTGGTAACTACAGGCTTTTTCGTGCTCATCGTATGGTTAAGAATGTTTTCGGAATTTTGTCTGCAAAATTCAGAGTTTTAAGAAAGCCATTGCTCTTACAACCTGTCAAAGCAGAAAAAGTAGTTTTAGCATGTGTTTATATGCATAACTTTTTAAGAAAAAAATCTTCATCTCAAAATATATATAAACCTAATGGAACGTTTGATCATGAAGAAGATGGTCAAATAATACCGGGAAATTGGAGAAGTGAAAGTCAGTTGTCATCTTTACTACCTTTACAAAGAGTTGGTCGAAAATCTTTAAAAACCTGTCAGTCAATCAGGGATGAATTTGCAAAATACTTTTACACTTATGGTCGAGTGCCATGGCAAGATCGATTCGAATAAAACAATTTCATAATAATGTTAATTATTCTTAATATATTACTGTATAAACTATAATCTACTTAATTCTATATTTGGCTAAAAAAAATCAACCTTTATCTTTCATAGTGTTAATATGTTAAATAACTGGTCGGAAGTGTGGGTAAATTGTGACGTATGTATCCATTTAAAACACGTACAAAAAAAAACCCCGATTAATAATTTTCGAAATATTTTTAATGCTGTTAGTCTTAGTAAACCTTATGAGTAAGATAATATTAAATTTTAAAGATTTTAAATCAATAACGTAAAATTAGATTAGATAAAAACTAGCAAAAAAACAAAATGTATTCAACATTTTTAATGTTCTATTTCTAGTTCAAAAGTGGTTAACAATTAAAATCGTTTTGAAATTATATCTTATTAAATAAAATTCAATTAACATAAATAACTTCACATATGTAATATAAATAATTTAGGTATATGATGGGATAGCATCATTTTTGATTAATTATTATTTATATAGGACTTGGTACTCATATAGTTACTATAAAAACTTATATTTATAAAATGACATGTGACTTACTTCAATTGTATTTGTTGTTGGCCTGGGTTGGTATTTGGTGTGCAAAAAACTTAGAGCGTTGTATACAAACCACGTTGATGTATAAACTTCATTTGCACCCATTCTAGAACATTTTGTGTTCACTTTTTGACGCTCTCGGCGATAAGAATTTAAAAACGAATTCATTTTTTCTTTAGTATATCACCATTAGTTTCAAAAACAGAAGCGATTGCGTCCCATGCATCCTTCTTTTTATTATTAATTTATAGAATTTGTCCTTAGGATCCCACAAAACGGGATATTTTTCATATTCATTGATTAATTGTAATATTTGGTCGTCAGTAAAGTCCATTTTAAATTATGTAATTTGAAAAAACTCTACTATAATTTATAACCTACACCGTACTTGTACACTGACAAAGTGAATATGATCATTTTATTTTTGTCGCGTTCCAACTTTGATTCAAACAGTAAATACATCAAAATCATGAAAAACCCCGTCCAATAGTAGTCATAATTTTCTTTGAAGTACCGACAATCCGGCAAACACGAAATACACACGTATGCGCTGTATGTAATGTGTGCAAACGCGTCCACACTATCACCGTTTTTGATGAATGCTATGTATGTGCGTGTGCTGAGTGTCGTGTTTGCATACTATGTGGACTCGCCTTAAAATGTCTCAAATGGAGCCAGAATTGTAGTAGTAATGGATTCTTGATAACAAAATGCGCTGGCGTTCCATATAAACATTTGTAATCTCCAATTTATTGTTATCCATGATCAATGTTGATACATTGCTGATAAACTATAATCAATTTTAAACGTTGTCATTTATTCCTTTTTATTATGTATAGGTTCTGTTATAGTTAATTGTATATATTTTATATGTTTTGTAGTTACCTATTTGACTATTACATTATTATGCTTTTATTTTACAATTATATTTATATTTTTTGCCTTCAAAATCGGTCAATTATTGAATTTTCCATAGAAGCTTTAAATATTTAGATAAATCAAGAAATAATATGGGATAAAATTAATATGCATTTTTTTTTTGTTTATACTAAAGTTTATACTTGTGAACATGAGATTTAGAAAATACTTGAATACTCGCAAGCGCAGCGAGCGTCTTTTTGAATGATAAAATCTGATAAGTTTTGATCTTAATGAATACACAATAGTCATTGTCATAAATCCTTAAATATGCCTATACCCTCTGGTTTTTTTTTTCAAAACACTACTGGTTAATTCTGCTTTGAGGTTTATTAAAGCATTGTCATGAAGATCATTTTAATACATTGATGCAACACTTAATATGGAGTCATTATTGTATGTACCAAAATTGGCAGGGATTAACTCTTCAAGTGCTATGATTTCTTTTAATTTTTGATTAAATCTAATTTGTAGTTGTAGTAAAATACTATCAAGGAAAGGAATAAAAATTGTTATTCGGTAGTATTCTTCAAGACAAATTTTAATTTTTTGTATGTTAACTCTATTAGTTTGTCTTCCACATACACGTGATGTTTTTATTTAAATATTTACACTAGTAGCAATTGAAGTAACTTCATTAAATATATCTTTAAAATGGTTGTCTACATCTTCCCGAACAGCTTCTAAACCTTTCTTTACTACAGTGACATCAGTTAAAGCTTTTGATAAATCTTGTATTTTATTCTGTAAAATTTGACTCAAATTTGTAGTATAAGAAAAACAAGTAACCGCTACTTCCAATGTAATTAAAAATTGATACGGAAATGGGGGGGGGGCATAGCCCACTGTCCCCTATGGCTACACCACAAATTATGTAACCTTTTATTTTTTAAAGATGTTATGAATAGTTTTTAGATATGCTTAAAAATTAATAAGAAACATTCGTTTATCGTATAATTTTATATATGTATAAACTATAAGTATAATAATATATAAAAGAGTAATATTTAAACTGGTTTTAAGATTAAAGCATTAACTATTACAAAGTTATCTTATTGCCAATTTTATTGCATTGCATTTTTGTATCAAAACATTTTTGATGATTTTAAAATTGAAGACCACGAAGTAACAATCAGACATCTCCATTTTTTTTTTGGCAAAATTTTTTTTCAGCTTTTAGTATTACAAAAATATTTTGCGTCGATTGATGCAATAATCAGACAAATCCGATAATTAAATAGGTACAGAGATATTGTACAAATAGAGATGTCTAGTTCTGTTACGGTCCAACGACTTTTGTAAGGAATAATATTATATGAAATTCAATTGATTCTATTTTTTTTTTTTTGTAAAGCTTCCGAATTTTCGTTTTACTGTGTCCATGTCAAGGAGAGAGTTATGGGGACAAAATTCCATCTTGAAATATGCAGTATTTACTTAGTAATTTGGATTCTCCATTTTTAAAAATCTTTTCATTTTTTTGATCATTCATTTTTTTCACATGTATAATTCCTCACACCCAAAAAAAAATAAATATTTTGTCCTACTACGTCCTTGCAAGTACTTGTTAATATAATATAATGTTAATAATATAATAAATAATTTATAGAATGTTATAGGCAAGAATACTTTTTTCATATTAATTATATTATTTTTATCCATTATTAGTAAAAAAAAAAATAATTTTATGGTGCAACAACATAACAAGACATCTTTATTTATCATCATTATTTAAATCATTTAATTTTTTTTAAATATTTTAAAATACACTTTGAAATTTTTTTTTATGAAATCAATTATAATTATTGCCAAGGTATTTGAATATATTTTTTGTACATTTTTAAAACTATTTATTAATTTTTAAAACAGTTTTTTGTTCCTTCTGAAAAATTTGAAATAATGAAGATGTCTTGTTGTTGCTTCATGGTCTTCAATTGTTCCATATCTTATTTAAAAAAAATTAAAATAAATAAATATATGAGTATTCAAGCTCACGGGTATTTAAATATACAGGTATTAAGATATACAGACATTAAAATACACGGCTATCAGTGCCGGGTTAAGAGGGGGGGGCAAAGGGGGCAGCTGCCCCGAGTGGCAAATTTTTATGGCGAAAACATAAGATTTACAGTGTCCTAAAATTAATGTATAAAATACTAATAGTGTGCTATAAAGTATGAATTGGAATGATCTTATAAAAGAGTTTGCGGCACAGAAAGCTAGAAAAAAAATATAAATTTCTAATATTAAATTTACAATTTGTATTTAAATGTTTATAAAATGTTTGTACTAAAACTGCACTGTAACCTTTATTAATAAAGTTTTATTAACCAAAAAGCTACTGGTACATTATGTAACTTTTTTAAAATTTATATATATTAATTTAACAATTTTAACGTTGTTGTGACATATTTTATTTTTTAGAATGAGTACAAAGATACAAAGGGTATTGAGGGGCGGCATTTTAAAATCTGCCCTCATGCGGAAAATTTCTTAACCCGGCACTGACGGCTATTTTTATTACATGGGCCTTAACGCTGTCTTAGGTAAAAACACGGGTAAGCATGTAATTCAATACACTTGTAATCGTGAACTCTAGTATCGACTATAAAACTATTATTGATGATTGCTGAAAAAAAGTTTTTTTATTCATTCTTAACTATTATTATTTTATATTATTAATTAATTAAATTAAAAATTACAAATTTACTTATAAATTGTATTTTTTTAACAAATATTTTATACTGATTATGTATCACGATTTTTATAATTTTGAAAGTAAACTAAATATATATATAATAAAATGCATACGAAGTAATGTTGGGTGATTTATAAAATTTTTCATTATTTATGGAAAGCCAACTTAGAACATAGTATAATAACTATAAGAAATACCCTCACGTTTTTATAAAAAGTATGTAGATTTAATATTTAAGTATAATATATATATATATATATATATATATATACAGAGGTGGGTCTAGGAATTTTTACGCCCAGGGAAAATGTTAAAATACGCCCTATCATAGACCAATAATCAAATACTCTTCTGGAGAACTTTTTTCTAATAATTAATATACAGTCATTCTAATTGAGTTTTAATAAAATTAAAAATATAAAATTAGTTGATAATAATTACAAAAATTACAGCCTTTAAAATTTTACGCCCGGGGATGAATCCCCGTTTTCCAACCCCTTGATCCGCCCCCGTATATATATATATATATATAAGGGCAGTACCGGATTACCCATTAGACGGTTTAGGCGCTTGCCTTACGGCCTCACTCATTTAAGGGGCCCTGTGAAAACTATATTTTTTTTTATTTAATAATACCTCTATTTTATTTACGAATTTACGGGACAAAAGTCATTATGAATTATAATATATATTATGTTGTAGGTGTTATATGCTGTAATAATAATAAAATTATTTTAAAAAATAGAAATATAATAATTAATTAGTTTTCCTTGAAAAAAAAAAAAAATGAATAAACATAATTTTATTTAATAATAATAGTTGGTTATTATTAAAGCTGTTTATTTTAATTATTGGATAGTATTATTAAAGATGTATGTAAAAAATAATTTTGTAAGGTCCAACATTTTAATTGCCTAGGGGCCTACAAATGTTTAATCCGGCACTGTAAAGGGGCCACTTTCATAATTCTGTGCCGAGTCACCCTAACCCGGGCAGGTACATTTATTTTTAACACTAATGGCAGGGGCGGATCTAGAGGGGTTCAGGGGGTCAGCTGACCCACAATTAATATTTGTTGACAAAATTGGCTTCTTGGAAATTTTTTTCTCTTTTTAGACCTTGATTTGGACTCTTGGACAGTTGGCCCATCGGAATTACCTACTTGAAAAATGAATGCCATTTATATTCAAAATTTAAAATTTTTCAATTCATAATTTATATTTTCAATTATATCGTTTTAGTAGAAAGTTAAGTAAATCATATTTTATTCCGTACGTTTGTTGCGCTGATAAAATTAGATTATATTTATAAATCGTATTATGTCATTATCGATGGTATCACTAATTCTAAAATGTAATATAAATATACTTATACACTTTTATGAGCATATTGTGTTTTTTTTTTTTTACAAAGTATTCATTTTTAATTCAGTTTCATCCCTAATAAATGGCCACTTGAAATGGCTTGACCCACAGTTCCCCGACTCTGGATCCGCTTCTGACTAGTGGCATTGATGCCTCGAGGAGGTTGGATGGGCAAACCCGAACAGATTCTTTTCTTATTCATGGGTTTGAATGTGCATTTTGACCTACATAAAGTAAAACATTAGAACAAATTACAAAACCTATATCATTATCATATTCGTTGAGCAAACATTAATTTTTTGAAATTTTTCTTTGCCAACTACCTAATTCTATTTTTGGTAAAAACCCTATAGCCACTACTGGATCTAGGAAATTTGACGCCCAAGAATAATAAAAATTACGAGCCCTTACTTAAATGGAAGTACGGGATATGGTCATGACTATTTTTAATAAATTTAAGAGCACTTAAGAGTGTCTGGGGCAAGCATACCCACTTACTCCTCTCTAGATCTATGAAGCCACTATGAAATAAGAAAATATAATTATTTATTGTACAGTATAAACATATAATATCAATAGCTATGTTTATAAAATATATGTAAACATAATTAAAGTTTTACATAATAAAATGCTAATATAATTTAATTAGATGTTCTATAATGCACTATATACAAAGGTACTGGCCCTCAACATATTACTGTGTTTACTTCTTGTGTCCGCGGTTTAGCGAACACGGTTGCAAGTTTTTTTTATCTTGGAAAAAAGCGGTGACGCGCGTGCGCGTCCGAGATTACGTCTCCCTCTCCTTCACTCATTAGCTGCCGCGAATAATAATACCTGCATTCCATTTTGTTTACATTCCATTCCGTACCATCGCTGCAGATTAGTATGCGTACCTGATTGGGTTATTTTTTTTCCAATTACTCAATATTGTTTCGTTACTGTTTTGCGATCGTTCGTTACTATGTTTGTCGTGCCCAACGAACGTCTGTATGTGTAATAACGCCGCACCAAAACCATCGTGTTCCTAGCCAGTTGCAGCCACCATTTGATGATTCGTGAAGTGAGTATAGGGCAAAAACCGCGTTGTTTACAATTCCAGTGACTGCCCGGACTGGGTCGTCCGATCCGCTTCGCGCACTTTATACTGCCGCCGCCGCTTTGCTGTTCCTTCCACATCCTCGACTTCTTACCTGTCTTAATACCCTCTTATTCTCCCGTCTCTAGATACTTGATTGACGTCAGTGCACCAAATCCCGTTCCAAGTCCTATCTGACAAATGTCTCTTAGAACCATACAGAAGCACATACAATCGTATGGAAACATAAACAAAATCACTGCATCCATGAAACTCGTGTCGGCGGCCAAATTGGCTAAGACTGAACGTCTATTAAAAGATGTGCGACCATTTGGCTTAGGTACTCTATCGTTTTATAAACGTTACACTCATATTAACATGCTCGATCATACCAATGATCACCTTATGTTTGCAATCACGTCTGATAGAGGTCTATGTGGCAGTATACATACCGCAGTTGTTAAAAAAGTTAAAAAAGAATTATCTAGATCCGATCAACGATTTGCCAAAGTAGTCTGTGTCGGTAGAAAAGCAGAAGAGATGTTAGTTATAAGCCATAAACCAAATATTCTTTTTACTGTTTTCAAAATAGGTAAAGAAAATCCTACTTTTTTAGAAGCTTCAAATATATTTAATGAATGTTCTCATATTGAATATATTGCTTGCCAGATTTTTTACAATGCTAGTATTACTAGGGGTACATCAAAAGTTGATTGGATATCAATATATAACACTAATCTGCTTTTAACAGTAGTTCATATTGCTAGCTTAGAAGAAGTAGAAGAAGAAAGTATGAGAAGTTATATAGAATTTTCAACTGTTTCACTATTATTTTTCGCCATGGCAGAAAATACTTTGTGTGAACATTCTGCTCGTATGATAGCCATGGATTCCGCTTCTAAAAATGTGCAACAAATGAATAGTAAATTGTCATTAGAGTACAATCGCAAAAGACAAACTAAAATAACATCAGATCTTATTGATATTGTTTCTGGAAGTCAAGTTATTACTGAAAAAAAATAATGTATTGTATATTTTAAAATATATTTTTAACTATATAAATCTCTTTAAAAATTATATTCATTTTAATATATTTTCTTAAAAAACTATAATTTGCATGTATAAATTATATACCTAAAACATTGAATAAAAAAATATACTGTTCAAAAAATGTTGAATACTAACTTTCATCTTGGAAGTATTTGGTACTTAACTAATAAATTTAGAAAAAAATATTTATTTTAATCTAAATTAAATTTAATAAAATGTGATTCATTTTTTATGTATAAGCTACTTATGTAAGTAGCTATTCAAGTATTATATTATTAAATTATTTGAAATAATGTATCATTCTGAAGCAAAATTTTACATCTTTACCATCCATTTTGAAGTATGAGTGGCAATAGTCCTAAGGTATAAGAATTGAGAGACCTGTGGAGTTAAAAATTTGACGAAAAAATTATTTTCTCACAAAATATACTGTTAAACTAAATTAATTATTTACATTTTTTAGTTATGTTCTCGAAAAAAAAGAAAAAGCCTCAAATATCTTCACCAACAAACTTTGAACATAGAGTTCACACTGGTTTTGATAAACGAGAAGGTAAGTTTATAGGTTTGCCTCTACAATGGGCAAGTATAGTTGGTAACAATCAAATATTAAAAAGCACCAATAGACCATTACCTCTTGTGGATCCATCAGAAATTACTCCTACAGAAATATTGGACTTAAAGGTAAAGAAAATAAATTTTGTAATTTTATGTATGATTTTAAAGATGTAAATAAATCTAATAATAAAAAGCCTAGGTAAATATTTATGTTAAAATGTAAATGTATTTTTTATAATGATGGCTTTTAAAATAATTAGTTTTATGTTATATTGGTTAGCTCATTGGTTTTTATTTTAAGGTTGTTAAAATTTACCAAATTTTTCTGTAGTAACTTTTAAATAAGTGGTTTCCAATATTAGTTATTTGAACAGTTTTAAAATCATATTAAAATGATGTAAGATACAGTCTTAAATCCGCAGTTGCTTTTAGATTGTTTTGTATTTAATTTTAATCAAGTAAATGATGAAAAACTCAACTAGTTCCATACTAGTAAATGATAATAAGAATAAAAATGCTTTGTCTAATAACTATCCAAAAGTTATTAAATTTTTAACCATTGATCAATAAACATTTTTGATAATTAAATGACTTAATATCAAAACAACCAGTAACAAATATTTTGAAACAATGAATACAAGTATTATAAGTAGAGCGCGGATTTCTATGCAATTACATATTTTTTTGCTTTCAATATTTTTGGATTTTTGTCAGTTATCTCCACGAATCATCATAATTTGAAGTTAATGGTAAAATTTTTTTTTGCATATCTCTGTATATTTAGTGGTTATTGCATATTTTGGCAAAATTTAAAATTTATTGCATATTGAAGTGGAAATTTAAAAAAAAAATGTACAAAATAATATTTTGTCAAGTAGAAAAATTAAAACTAAATTTCATAGTCACTAAATAATAATTTTTATATATATATATTTAGTTATAAAATAAATAATTGATTATGACGTAAACTTAATCACTCTTGCTGTGTCAGTCGGTTATCGACATACCACTTGCTTCAAATATGTCCCAATAACTTCGGTTGACGTCAAACGTTTGTTTTCAGTCTTTTAAAATATATTAATTGATAAACGACACAGCTTCACAGAAGATAAATTTGAAATGCATATGATTATTCATTTTTATAATAAATAAAATTTTAAAAATAAATTAAGTTCAGAAAATTTTCTAAATTTTTTTTGTTAAGTATTTAAGTAATTAATTATTATAAGTTGAATTATAAATTTTAAATAAATAAAAAATTCTTGCATATTTTTTGCATATTTTCATGATTTTTACTGCATATTATATAGCATATTTCGATAATTTTAAGTGCATACAAATCGCACTCTAATTATAAGTATTGATTTTAGAATATATTAAAATCATTTCCATCACCATCCATATTATATTATTATAGATTACATACTTTACATTACTATACACATATAGTATTTTATAATATACAATCTGTAAAATAAGTGTAGTTATATTTTTACTTGTGTGACTGGAATTTTTCTTGTTAATTATCATATATTGCATATTTCCAAAAAAAAAGTGTTTTAAATAAACCAAATTAAATATTTTTCCACCATGACTCCTTATTTTTTTATGTTGGTTGGAAACTGCTGTTTTAGATTATTAATTAACAAAACATTTTTTTAAATATGTAAATTAGTAAATTTAGGTTGTATTGAAAATTATAATCACAGATGTTTCAAATTGGATATTTATTATAACTAGAATTAAGATGTTTCTGACCTCAAAAAACTTGAAAAATGCATTCAAATATAACAGAAATAGTAAAATAAGGCAATACATTAAATTTTTAAAGCTATTTTTCATTTATTATATGTGTGTGAAAAAATGAATATAAAATGTTTAATACTATGTTTTATACATCTAACTTTAACTCCTCCAAATATCTTTCAGCACTTTATAACTCACTAGTTAGGACGCTTTTAGAATACAGTGCCATTGTTTGGTTCCCTTATACCTCATATGATATCTTGATAATGTTCAGAACTGTTTTTTGAATTTTGCTAGTTATTGTCTTAACATTTCTCATCTAACCTCATGACTATAATCACATCAACGTCATTCTCAACATTGTATCGTTAACTGATTGTTGTAATATTTCCTGTTGTTGTTTCATTAATGGACTTACTGAAGGAACTATTGATGTACCCCATTCACTAGAACAACTTGAAATTCGTATTCCTGGTTCCACCATGTTCAAGGACATTTTTTACACACCACCAAGTCATACAAATTTTAGAAAAAATGCCTCTCTATCAAGGATGAAGTATATTTTCAATAATTATTGATTTTCGTACTTTGGCCAACTTTTATATCTCTTTTTACTTTTTATTTAACTTTAAACATATTACTGTTCTTTGTTCAATTAATCTAGGCATTAATTTAATATAGTTTAAATCTCGATTGAATTGTTAGTGTTTTGTAATATTGTAATACTTTTTTCAAAAGCTGTAGAATATATAAAGTCTCCTTGCTTATAATGCCCTCATATGGTTTGCACTTGCTATATGTTGTTTTGTACATTTTTTTTCTGATGCAATTTTCACTCCACATAGCTTACACAAAAAAATTAAACCATCAGTTAAAAATATGTCTTCCCTGAACTCTAAAACAAATTTTTATGAGTAAACGTCTTCAGAATTTTTAACTTTTTTTAACAGAATTTTGTTCACTTAAACCATAGATTTTATTTATTTCGTATGGCTTTTAACACAAATCAACTTAACTATCAAACTCTAACTAAAATATAAACTAAAACAATACAAACATGATATAGATATAACTTAAAATAAAACTATGATTAGTCAAAAATCATAAATATTAAAGGATAGACATTCTTGCGATGTGGGTTCATAAACAGATGTCGAGGTTCGTAATCCAGGTAATTGCTTTGGGTGTCACTGCATGCATGCAGGCCTTCAGAACCTTGATTGAATTTTCCACCTTGGCAATCGACTACTATGTATATGATTTATTGTTTGTTCCCCGTTTCCGCAGTTACATACAGGCTTATCTTGGAACCCCGTCTTATATAGGAGGTAGCCACACCGACCATGACTTGTTCGCAGTCTATTTAACGTGGACCAGGTACAACGAGAAAAATTCATTCTTAGAATTCGATCATTAGGGTCACATATTAGCTTCCTATTTGGTGCTATAAAGCTTGACCATTCTTTTCGCCATTCCTCAGCGCTATCAAACCCTAAACTTATCAATGTTCTGGCGTACTCAACTGATGGGCTCCTGAATTTTAATCGTTGATTAGGTGTTTGAAGCATCATCTGGTATAAAAGTGAATGCTTGTAATCTACAGACTTCTTAATGGTTTTTACAAGTGTATCTTTCCTACAAATGTGTGGTGGTTTAATGTTTGTCAGTGTCGGTAGCCATTGTAGTAGTGTAGATTTAACTACCCTGCTTATAACTCTCATTACACTATTAAGCTGCGTGTCTATTTTGCTTACATGTGTGTTGTTACACCAAACTTGGAATCCATACTCCGCTGTACTATAAACTAGGCTCAATGCTGTTATCCGTAAGGTCTTAGCATCGGCACCCCAGCCTGTTCTAGCAAGCATTTGTCCAAGGTTATATCGGGACCGGATTTTTTTACTGAGGGTACTTAAATGCTCATTAAATGTGAGTAAACGTTCTAGCGTTATACCCAAATATTTAGGGAGATAATTATGCTTTACACCTATTCCGTCAAATTCAACCTCAAATTTGTCATTAACTTGTCTGTTATTGAGGTGAAATGCACAAATCTGTTTTTCTAGGGTTTGGCTTTAGACGCCAATTGCGAAAATATGTGTTCATTAACTCTAGGTCTTTGGTTAAGATTGCACTGCCCTCTTTTAAATCTTTACACTGGAACGCTATTGCTATGTCATTCACAAATTGGAACTCAAGCCCTTCTGTCATTGGGATATCGTTCATGTATAGGTTGAACAATGTTGGGGCTAGGACTGATCCTTGAGGAGCCCATTATTCGCTGTCTTCCACCTGCTCCCATTATTACTTAGGTAAATTTGGAAACGTCGGTTTGCAAGGATTCCTTCCAAGAACGCCATTAACTTACTACAATTGATAACATTACTAAATTTATACAGCAGTCCATGTCTCCAGACCGTGTCATAAGCAGTAGAGAGGTCAAAGAAGGCTATGTTGGTTTTTAACTTCTTCTGGAATCCAGCTTCAATTAGTGTTATTCAGGCGAGAACCTGTTATTCGTAATTTCTGTAGTTTCTGAAGCCCGCTTGCTTTACCGGAATAATCTCGTCAATACGAGACTGTATTCTCTCCAGGATAAGTCTCTCCAAGATTTTGTATGAGATGCTTAGTAGTGAGATTGGGTGGTATTCTGTAACATCGGTTCCAAACTTTCCCGGATTTAGAAGTGCGATTAATTTAGACCTTTTAAACTGTTTTGGAATGTTTGCTGTGTCTAGTATGGCACTGTAGAATCTAGCGAGCTACTCCCGTGCTCTGGGACCAGCGTATTTGATGAATTCGGGGTATATCCCATCAAAACCAGCTGCCTTATTTAATTTGGTCTTGTTTAAGGCTTTATTGACCTCATCGAGCGTGAAATGTGCACCAATCATAGTATGTTGTTGTAGTTTTTTCTTTTGACGTCTAAGCTCTGCTTTAATGGTCCTATTGTGATCTTTGCATGATTGGGTTTTACCTATATCGATGAGTCTCGATGCCAATTCGTTTACACTCAGAATTTCTTGTTTCTTCTTGCTATGACTATGGTTTCTAAGTCTCTTCATCAGGCCCCACGCTTTATGACTCGAGTGAGTAAAGTCTAATTCCACAGTAGTTTCACTCCATCTCTGCTTCCTTATAATATTTAGCCTACCAATGAGATTGTCTGCTATTGTTCTGTTATTATTTTTCTGAAAATCTTCAAATCATTTTGTACAATCTTCATCCCAGTCAGGTATATAAAGTTTCCTAAAGCCTTTAGGAATGTGTTTACTCACCACCGATTTGATGGCTCCCATAAATCGATCGTAAGAACTAGCTTTAGGCGGGATCCAAGAGATTATATATGGTTATATATGGTCTAGTTCGTTTCCATAATCGACCCAGTTAGCCTTCCTAAAATTTCAACGTGGTTTAGGTAAGAATCGTATGAATGGAATTCGCAGCCCGTAGTTCAGCAATATCAGACGGTGCTGATTATGTAGGAAATTTCCCTGAATGTGTCTCGTTACCATAGTATTGTCACTTAAGGAGGTCTTAGAATCTATGCTGAAGTCTGGAATATAGTCCTAACCATCTTATTGACCGGAAAGTACACCTATCTTTGGCGTTATATATGAGTTCATGTTGTGCAGGACCATCCATTGTTGGATGGTCCGTTCATTGCAGGACTAACCTGAAGTTTGTTTCCTTTAGTATCATTTTCGTCGTACCCCCATTCCAGGTTGTGACTATTAAAATCTCCTACGTATAAGTTTAGGTGATCGAATGTTTTAATTGGGGGAGACTTTCATTGAGTGTTAGGTGGCTTATATATATTAACGACGGTCACAGTCCCTATGATGGCTGCCAGTACGTGGATATCATCTTGGTTATCTTCGAAAATAATCCGGCGTGTATCTATATCTTCTTTAATATATGTGGCCACACCGTATTGTTTGTGGTGTATCACTCTGAGTAGTGGGTAGCCTTGTATGAATCCCCTTTTTCCTATATCCTCATCGTCTACTGAGTGGGTTTTCTTTATTCGTAATTTTTGACAAAACTTCACATTTTAATTTTGAAATTCCTTCAATATTAAAGTTGCTCACCCTGAGGTCGCCACCAATACTTAGCGTTAAGTGGTCCTTAAAAGGACCATTTTTATTTGTCATCGTTGACAGTGGTGTTGATGCACCTAATGGTAGTATTGATGCATTAGTTTTATGTTGAGATCACATATAACTGAACGCATGCAGGGAGGGCTATGAATAAGCTACCACCATCCTCCCCAAAACAATAGATTAAATTAAATACACTAGTATTATTTAATATATGCTTAAATATAGACACTAAAAGTCTATAACACAAAACACAGTGAACTCACAGTTTGCAATATATTCATTGTTTTAAATCTTCGTTAGTCACCTTGATGATTTGAAAAATTTTAGTCACTTGGAATAATATAATATCCCATGTGTTAAATTAATTTATGAAACATATAAATTTGTTCATTGTATTATTTTTTGCTGAATATGTGTTTTGAATGTATGTATAATTAATATTTTAATAGTTAAATGTGGTATTTAAATGTTTAACAGGTGTATGAATATTTATTCTATATATATATTTAAATATTAATCATTACTAATCACTTTTTAGTTTATTTTTTATTTTTGTATTGCTATAAATATAGTAATTTTGTCTTTAAATTCTTATTTTTAACTTATACAACATATTTTGACTATTTATTATTTTACTATTATTTATTAATTTATGTTGAATATGAACCCTGATATCATAACTGAATAAAGGGTAAACAAATAATAATAAATAACAACATAATTATCTGTTCATCATTATATTATAATAAGATTAAAAGAAATATTTTTATCCTCAATAAAGTAACGTTGTAAGTATAACGTTTAAAAATACATAAAATGTAACTATAGATATTTAAACAAAATTTTTTTAAATACCTAACTTTAACTATATTCAATATAGTAAAATCATAAAATTAAAAAACAAAACCAAAATCATACTAACGTCTCTTACTCAAATTAATAAATTTAATTTTTTTTTTAATTTAAACAATTTGATTCAGTAATTTTAAATGAGTATTAATAATTTATATTTACTATGTGTAATTTTAATTAACCAGTCTAGTGGTAGTTATTCAGCAGTAATTTCATTTTCATAAGCATTTGAATAATCTACGAGTAGACAAACTTATTCTAAAACAAAATAGTCACCTGGGGTAAAATATTTCCAGATTCCAATATGAACGACTATTTATCATTTGATACTACACTGGTTATGATAAAAATCTTACCACCATATATTAATACTTTGATGACATATGATATCACGGCGTTTGAGGTGACCATGTTTTTACCCCTCAAAACAAATATTTTTAATATGTCTGGGGTATTAAAATACTTCGTGGTGACTAACGAAGGGTTAAAGACGTTTAGGTCATTGGATAGCAGGTACTAACGACATTGTTACACAATCACGATTCTTGGTCGTAAAAACGATAGAGTTTGAACTTCAGCAGTGATGTGACCGTCTGGTGATTTAATTTACAAAACAAAATTATTACTTTTCTTTGTTGTTTTTTTTTTTTTTTTTGTTAATTTTCTTAGTTTTCATCCAAATGTGTAAATTAAATAGGTGAAACATGCAGTTATATTATAAATATGCACTAATACCTTAAAACCTCATAATATGCAAAAATATGCAGATTAAGATGTTATCCAATAGTTCGTAAATATAAAAACAAATGTATACATATATAGCTGATTCTGAAGAATATACGATCAAAAGGAAAAAATCATAAACATCCTAACCATAATTATAACCAATTACAATATATTATATTATTCTCATAAGTTTTTTTTTTTAAATGAATTTTTGTTGAAGATTATTGTATTCTTACCATTATTATAATATCATGTGTAGAACCACGGTATATCTAACCATAGTATAGTTTGTGTTATATTAAATTCAACGAAACTTAATTTATTTTCAAAAGCATTTCTTCAAATTTTTAAAAATTCTTTATAGTTAAATAGCTTTTATAATTATATATATATATATATAAAAAAATGCATAACAAATATCTATATATCATATATCATCATAAGATAAGAACATTTTGTCACTGTATTCATTTTTACTATCAATCTTTATTAATTTTAGACTATTGTGCGCGGAGAAAACAATCCTAAGTTCAATAATAATCCTATTAATAATCGAAACAATGAACCAGCTGGACTTCCCAAAACTTCTAATGTTGCACGTTCAAACTCTTTACGTTCTTCAAGTCCACCCCGTATTCGAAGACAACATCCGAATGTGCCACCTCCGTTGCCTGAAAATGAAGTATTAGTGATGAATCAGAGTTTGGTCCCACAAAATTTACCTCAATATCCAATTCCTAATAATACTCAAACAAAACTTGATTACAGTAATAAATATGTAAGTTTTATTAAAACTAACTTGTTTAGTTTTTAACCCCATAATGTTAAAATTATTATCACCACTTAATTTTCTAGATAAAACCTGGAGTTCCAGAATGGTCTGTTCAAGAAACACCAATATCACGAATGAATCAGAATAATACTCCTACTAGCCAAACAATAACACCAGATCCAAGTGGATCACACTCATATCATTCAATGCAAAATGGAAGTATTCCACCAGTATTTTCTAATGGATCAGCAGTTGACTCACCGTCTGGAAGTCAAACATCACAAGCTAATACTCCTGTACCACCAAATCGTACTCATCCTGTTATTAATAATGCTCAGATTGTTAGTACAAACAAGGTAAGAGTTATAAAAATGGTTTTTATTAGTTGACTAAAATTAAAATTGTGTATTATTAAATTTAGGGCATCACACAAAGTCTTACTAGAAACCAAGATCAGAACCAAAATATTAAACCAACAACAAATGGTATATCAACAACCAGTACTACATCAATTCCTAGTGTTGCAACAAAACAACATCATGAACAACAACGAATAACTCATGAACAAGTAAATTTTTATTTTTTGAATAATAAATTGCTCTTACACCAAATTTATTTTGTTTTATAGTTTAGAGCTGCTCTTCAGCTTGTTGTTAGTCCAGGAGACCCTCGTGAAAATTTGGATAGTTTCAAAAAAATTGGAGAAGGTTCAACAGGTACAGTTTGTATAGCTACAGATCGTATGACTGGCCGTAAGGTAGCAGTTAAAAAAATGGATTTAAGAAAGCAACAACGTAGAGAATTATTATTTAACGAAGTTGTCATAATGCGTGATTATCATCATGCAAATATTGTTGATATGTATGATAGTTTTTTGGTTGGTGATGAGTTGTGGGTTGTTATGGAATACTTGGAAGGTGGGGCTCTTACTGATATGGTAACACACACAAGAATGGACGAAGAACAGATTGCTACTGTTTGCAAGCAGTGTTTGAAAGCTTTGGCGTATTTACATTCACAGGGAGTAATACATAGAGATATCAAGAGTGATTCCATTCTTTTAACTACTGATGGAAGGGTAATTATTATAAAAAATTTTGAATTTTATTACATTTTAAATATATTAATTAAAATATTTGTATACTATTTCCTAGGTGAAAATTTCGGACTTTGGTTTTTGTGCTCAAGTATCTCAAGAGTTACCTAAAAGAAAATCACTAGTCGGAACGCCCTATTGGATGTCTCCTGAAGTGATTTCCCGTTTACCATATGGACCAGAAGTTGATATTTGGTCTTTAGGTAATAATTCAATTTTTTAATTTTTTTATCATTATATATTCCTTGTTAATTTTTTAGGCATTATGGTGATTGAAATGGTTGATGGTGAGCCACCTTTCTTTAATGAACCACCTCTTCAAGCTATGAGAAGAATACGAGATATGCCTCCACCTAAACTTAAAAATTCCAATAAAGTAAATTTTTTTGTTCTCCAATTATTTAAAAAAATAGTATTACATAATAATTTTAAAATTCCACAGATATCGCCTAGATTACAAGGTTTTTTAGAAAGATTATTAGTCAGAGATCCAGCACAAAGAGCAACTGCAGCTGAACTTCTACAACATCCATTTTTAAGATTAGCTGGCCCTCCTTCTCTTCTAGTGCCATTAATTAGAGGATCCAGGCATAGCAACTGTTAAAAGGTAAACGACTTATTGTTCATTTGTGCAATTTTTTGTTATTTGTTATTACATTTTTTTTTTTACTTATATGACAATTTTTTTTCACCTAGATTGTGTATTATAAAAGTTACTTTTTTTATGTAACTTACATGTTTAACCGATAATACTAGATAATTGTATATTTTTTCATAATGTTATAATTTGTTAACGTACATATAATAATGTTTTGACATAAAAAGTGTATTCACTTTTTTTGTCACTAGCTCAATATGACATACTTAAATGTTGAAAAATTAGTGCCTTAAATCTTATATGTATGCTTATAACGAATCATAAATTTATTCTCCATTATTAAAATATGAGTAGATAACCAAAGATGGAGAGTTTTAAAGATTGTTTAAATTTTGGAAAGTGTATTTTGTAGAGTTGTAACCTGGTGCCTTTTATACTTTATTATTTTATTTTTACATTGTATAAAAATCATATTAAAAAAGAAGTGAAAATAATTTGTAAATGTTTTCAATGGTAATTCAATTTGTTTGGATAATTTAATATTTAATTTCACGGTTATTGACAGTAGTATCATAAAAGCACTACATCTCTGTTATGCACTTATATTGTTTAAATAATAATTAGATAATCATCTATTATGTATACCTTTCCCAATATAGTATTATAAGTTTACAGTAAGGCTGTTAAATAATTAAGATGAAAAATGTATCCAACTTAAGTTAACATGCACATTGTACAATGAAAAACTTAAACATTCCAATAATTGTTTTATAACTTGTTAATTGTTTTTACACATATTGTTAATTATTGACGACAGCATTTAAAACGAAAATTTTTTTATCTTCTAGTCAGTAATTAATATAACAATTGAATTAATTTTTCATTGATATTTTTTTTAATTTGCCCTTGTAATGAATTTATGTTTTCAACAGTATTTATTATCTTAAACTTGTCAGATCTCTGTTTTTCTTTAAAATAAACTATTGACTGGTCTATAAAAACAACTATAACTCTTAACCTGTAGTTTTTAGTTGAATTTTTTTTTAGCTTTTATGATACAATTCTATGTATGTAATATAATTTTGTTTTT